ATACGAGAAAAATGTCATGTAAAATGTGAAAGAAATGAATCAGTTCTTGATACGACGTTGTCATAAGAATCAACATGAACGTTGGTCGAGGTAGACTATTGCTTAAACAATTTCCATTTCAATTTTCAATTATTCTTAACAATTAATCAATCAATATATCCTATAATTTTCATCTTCCTCTTTTTAACTAATGTTCATTATAAAAAATGTCACAACAATCATTGATACAATAACTTATCATAATCTTGCAATGACATATTTCCAAAGTACATATCGTGAATATAATTTCTTTTTTTTTTATCTCTCTCTCTCTCTCTCTCTCTCTCTCTCTCTCTCTCTCTCTCTCTCTCTCTCTCTTTCTATCTATCCTCGAATGGGATCCTAAAAGTTCTCAGAATTAAATAATATATCATATTGATCCGTACATTGTGGTCACGCGATCGTGACCAACGGATATGTCATTCACGATAATTCCTGTATATTTCCAAAATTATTGCACGCCTAATACCTGTAATCTAATGCGATTATACTAACGCGTCCTATGTTAACGAAAGTTTCGCAAGTGGAATACGCTTGCGGATGGAACTTATACACGATGAAAGTCATTGGGATTTGGCCGGAGGAAAGAAAGTTCGATCAAATCTCGAGCTACAAAGTGTTAATAGGGATTGCATTCATCATCTTGTTCTGCACTATACCTCAATCAATAGTATTATATTTCGATCGGGATGACTTCGACTTGATTATGGAAAACCTATCTGTGGACAACATGAATGGAACGATCGCATTCATAAAGATGATATTCTTCTGGTCTAGCGGAGGACGTAAATAAATTAAATTTATTTCAATCTTTTTATAATTTCCCGTAAATTTATAACTCGCACTTATTTTAGATCTGTCAATATTTCGTAATTTACATTTCTTTCTATTCGACAAAAAAAATATCCTTGTCATTGGACAATCGATATATTCAATTTTATTCGTTTTATTATAAGCACGAAGTAATAATATAATTTTTTTCTTCAAAGACATGACAAAAAATAATTATAGAAAGCTTAAAAAAAAATATATGTTCATTCGACATTTAATATTTTTGATTAGATTTTTCTATTGATTTTTATTCATCGTTTCGATTAAAGAAATGAAGGATCTTCTTTCCGCAATGGAGGAAGACTGGAAGGAAGTGACGACGAAAGAAGATGAAAAGAAAATGATGAAATTAGCAAAATTCAGTCGGATTTTAGCTACGAGAGCAACCGCTATTTGTTACGCCCTTATTGCGGTTTATGCTGTGAAAAGATGTCTATCGATGCGTACCGACGGTCGTATTCTATTTCTCTCGGCATATTTTCCATTCGAGACAATGACTAGTCCAATGTTCGAATTGACGTTCATCTGTCAAATAATTGGTTCGATATATTATACCACAGCATATACAGCTGTAGATACTTTCATAGCCATGTTGATTCTTCATGTATGCGGACAACTTTCGAGGCTACAAAACAATCTGATCAATTTGAATTCCGATATGAAAAATGAATTTCAAATCAAATTAAGTTACATTGTTAAAAGGCACAATTATTTGAACAGGTAATTGTTATGAAATAATTATTAACATTATTATAATTATTATAATATATAATAATACAATATTATGATCAATTATATGGGAATGTTTTTTTTTTTAAAGATTCGTCGACACGATAGAGGATCGATTCAACATAATGTTTCTCTTTCAAATACTCGGCTGTACCCTTCAATTGTGCATCGAATGTTTCCAAGGACTTCTGGTAAAATTCGATAAAATAGACAGATTCATTTTGTGCATCTATATATCCGTCTACATGTATATCTGAATTTTTGAATGGATTGTCAGCAAGTACAATCATTCTCCAAACCATTTCTTATCTAAATCTTGTATATTCGCTACTGTAACTCCATACTACATAATAATTTTATAATAATTATTTAAAATTATTAACGCATATTTTTTAATAATGAATTTTAAATAAAATTCAGGAAACATTTACAATTAATTAATCGTAAAATATCTATAAGAGTACGAATTTCAGTTAATGGCCGAAGAAGTAGAACAAATGCCGTTAGTAGAGATCTTTTTCTTTGGTTTCTACATATTCTACGTTCTACTTCAACTATATCTTTACTGCTACGTCGGTGAAAAACTTTGGTCCGAGGTGGACAAAACATTAATGATTAAAAAATGTCTATCGAAATGATAAACAAAGCTACCGAATAAACATTTGTCCTTTCAGAGTACCGAACTTGCTCGTGCCGCATACGAATGTAAATGGTACGATTTACTACCGAACGAGGCCAGATCCCTGATATTGATAATACGTCGAGCACGAATACCATTGCGCCTGACAGCTGGCAAATTTTGTATTTTCAATCATGAACTTTACAGCACCGTAAGTAATCCCTATAAGAGACATTATGAAATGAACAACTTTTCTTCTATACCTAAATAAATTATAAATAGTTAGTAGTTGACAAAAACCAATAGACACGTGCGTTGAATTATTTTTTCCTTTTACAGGTTTTAAAGACATCAATGGGTTATCTATCTGTTTTGCGTGCGACAATGATAAAAGATGAATAATATTTTAGAAAATAATTTAAAAATTATTATAATATCCTAGAATCGAATATTTTCAAAAAAATTATATCTAGATTATATTTTGCTCGTGGTTTAATTCGAGGGTTTATTAAATCATAATCCTGACAAATTTATATATATATATATATATATATATATATATATATATATAAAGTTGCTACACTTGTAGTTTTACAATCTGAAAAAATATTTTGCCTAAAACGTTTCGAGAAAGAATAAACGATTTTTTAAAAATTACCTAGGAACTTTTGGTCTACTCTATACTGTGATAATTATACTATGATAACGATCGAGACCGATCATTTATATCATTTTAAAGTTTACTTTGTAATATTTTAATAGATCGAGTTTGTTAATAATCCTGAAATGTTGCATTTTACGATATGTCCTTACGCATTAAAGATTACATCATGATCGTAGGATTAGAATTTTTCAATGAAGTAAGAAAAAAAAATGGCGTCGGCTTAACAGTTTTTATAAATTTCAAATAAATTCGAAATCCAAACAAATTCATTCTGAACTTATCATTTTAGTAAGTTAATAAAAAATGAATTTAAAATGCATACAATAAAGAGCGCAATGAATAAGAATAAACAATGAATGAGAATTATAACAAACGAGAAATAGAATATATTCTAATTATTGTAAAGTCTAGGAATATTTTTTGAACAATAACCAGGCAAAGAGAACAAAAGCAGTATGTGTATTTCTGAAAATGAAATATCTCGCCTTGAAACTTTTCGTTTCCCCTCCCCTCTAAATCATAATTCATATTTTCTCGATGGATAAAACGAATTGGCGTTTATCGCGTTAAAAAAAAAAAAAAAAAAAAAAAAAATTAGTAAATTAATCTACATCTCCAGACACTAATAAAATATCTATAAGCCGGTATCATATGAAATTCGATCGGAGTTTCCACGTTGGAGAAAGAAAATGCGCTCGCCGAGTCTGAAAGACAACGATAGAAGAGAAGAGGATGAGGAGGAGGAGGATTGAAAGGAGGTAAAAGAGCGGAAAATGGAGAATAAAAAATGAGTAAATTTTAAGGACATCTCCGTTAAGCGTAAATTGTACGAGTTCAACGACTATACGATGATAAAGTTTGAAATAATATTTTCGTTCTCAGACGCCTCTCCCACCGCCTCCTCCTCCTCCTTTGTTCTCACATTTCTATCATACATTTTTTCCCCTCGAACTACATTTTGTTCAGAAGCGTTAATACATTTTTTAACAGCTTGATTCGTCATAATGCTCTGAATGCTTAAGTGCATACAATACTACTCGACACATGCATGATTAATAAATAAGAAGCAATGAACCTATCAATTAGGGCGATCTCATTCGAGCTATAGGTTCATCGAATATTCTAAAGATATAGTCAAGTCATCTTCTTCGGTAGGGCTCGAAAATGCGCCATAAACTTTTCTTTTTTGAATTACATTTGTTACTGGAAACGTTAACTCTATAAATATATTAAATGTCTGACGGAACAAAAGAAAAGAAAATCGAATTAATTTATTATTACATTCTATCAAAAAACACGATTTCTATAACACAGGTATATCCATTTATATAGTTTTTTATGATTTATATAGTTATTTCTAATCGATTCTCCGCAAAATGTTTTTTTGCAGATCCATCGATAAAATCGAAGAATAATTTAATGACACGTTATTGTCACAAATGCTCGCCCGTTCGATATAATTTTTGGTTAAATGTTGTTACCAGGGACGCTTTTGGTGAGATATTAAGTAAATTACTAAAAAGATTAGTACGAATTGAAAATGAAATGATTCCGATCGAAATGTTTTTTCTTCGGTACCTATTTAACATACAATTCGCTTCAAATATATCAATATTGTTTAATCGTCAACAGAATTCATTTCGGAGATAATTAATTTTCTCTTTTATATTTTTTTACAAAAAAAAAAAAAGAAAAAGAAAAAGAAGAAAGTACTTGATTTTGTATAGCATAGAAATCGTCGATGCAATATAATACGTTCAATGATGTAATTTATCACCTAATCAAACCAAGCCTCGAATCATTATCACGTTTCGAATACGAGTACACAATTGAGCCAAACTTTGTCCATTCAGATACAAATTTTGGAACAATGTAAGTAACAATGCTACATCATTTTTATAGACCTAATGAAAAAAAAAAATCCATTATGACGTATCTACTGCAGTCTCTCAATGAATTTACTATTTCACACAAAATGCAAATGTAAATACATTATAAAACGTTGTACAATAAAAGAGCAAACAAATTCTTTAATCCATCATGTTAACAAATAATTATTTCTATTTCAATGAGCTTGATTATGTGTTTTCGAAAATTAACAATTGCTACATACCCATACGACATATCACAAAACAAGTCTTATTAAATATTAAATTTTATCAGCATTGAAAGAAATTGTTTCCTAGATGTTTGTGATGTCTTGCGTGTCGGTAAGTTAACATACTCTAATGTCAGCTAGACTGATGATAGACGAACCGTGAGAGTTACAACACGCAAGACATATAGCAAATCGTTTGGAGCATCGAACGATAGAGGGATCTATTCAAGATACTGATCCCTACAAAATTGTTGTATGAAAAAAATATTTAGAAATTTTATAAAATAAAATAATAATATTCCTGAAGTTAAAATATTTCATCTATCATTATTTTGTACATATTAAAAATCAAACTTCATCAATTATAAATAATCTATACGATCATTCTAGTTACAAAGTTCACTGATTTCATAGAGCATGCGCTCCCACGCATGATTCGAGAAAAATATCATACGAAATACGGAAGAAACGAACAAAAGAATCAGTTCCCGATAGAACGTTGTCACAAGAACTAACATGAGCATTGCTCCAGGTAGAGGATCATACAAATACATTTTTCATCACAATTTTTAACTAATCATAACATTATTATATCTATCCATTTAATTTTTCTTCAAGTATCCGTTTAATTTTTGCTATGAAAAACATGATGATAATGATCGGTAACAATAATTGATCATAATCTTGCAACATCGATGTTTTTACGTGTATATCGTGAATACAATTTTCTTTTCCTTTCTCTTTCTCTCACCCCCCCACCTGCTCTTTTCCCGAATTCGACGCTGAAAATTGTCAGTCTTGAATAATACATCATACTAAACCGTAGTTTCCTATTGCTATTCGTTATGGTCACGCGATGGTAACCAACGAATATGTGATTCACGATAATTCCTATATATTTTGAAAATTATTACACCCTTTGTATCTACAATTTAATGCGATCATACTAACGCGTCCTATGTTAACGAAAGTTTGGCAAGTCGACTATGCTTGCGGATGGAATATATACACGATGAAATTCATGGGGATTTGGCCAGAAAAAAGAAAGTTCGATCAAATTTCGAGCTACAGAGTGTTAATAGGGATTGCGTTCATCTTCCTGTTCTGCACTATACCACAGTACATGCTACTCTATATCAATCGAAATGATTTCGACCTGGTTATGGAAAATCTATCCGTGGACAACATAAATGGAACGATGTCATTCATGAAGATGATATTCTTCTGGTCTAGCGGTGAACGTAAATAAATTATATTTATTTCAACCCTCTAATAAATAACATAAACTCCCACACATTTAGATTTTCGTATTTCTTAAGTTTCGTTAAATTTTCAATTCCACATTCACATTGTCGATTTACATATATGAAATTTTTAAATTGTACTAATTATTACGCACAAGTAATAGAAATTAAAATTTTTATTAAAAATATTATAAAAAAAGAAATAGATTTACAGAGGGTTAACAATATAACTACTAGAACAATGCTCAGCTAAATACGGACGATCGTTACTATTTCACATTTAATCTCAAATTTTACACGCTTATTTTTATCTACCGTTAATCATCGAAGAAATAAAGGGACTTCTCATCGCAATGGAGAAAGACTGGAACGAAGTGACCAGGGAAGAAGATAAAAATAAAATGATGAAATTTGCAAAGTTCAGCAGGATTCTATCTACAAAAGTAAACGCTTTCTGTTGGTCGCTCATCACGGTTTACGCTATGACAAGATGTTTATCGATGCGTACCGAGGGCCGCCTTTTATTTTTCCCCTCATATTTTCCATTCGAAACAATGACCAGTCCACTATTCGAATTCAAGTTCTTCGGTCAAATGATAGGTGCAATTTATTATTCAATAACGTACACAGCAGTGGATACTTTCCTAGCAATGTTGGTCCTTCACGTTTGTGGACAACTTTCGAGATTACAAAACGATCTTATCGATTTGAATTCAGCTACGAGAAAAGAATTTGGGATGAAGTTAAATTACATCGTGGAAAGGCACAATTATTTGAACAGGTAATTATTAATCAGAATTCAAAAAATTCTAATCAGATTTGTAATCAAATAATTTCTTTAAAAAAAAAGATTCGTCGATACGTTAGAGGACCGGTTCAATATAATGCTGCTCTTTCAAATACTTGGTTGCACCTTGCAATTGTGCATGGAATGTTTTCATGGACTTGTGGTAAAATTATGAAAGAATAAACATATACGATCGATCGTGCATCTATATGTTTATTTATTTATCTTTCTCTGAATTTTTGTGGGAACAATCAGCAAATATAAACTTTTTCTAAATATTGCATCTTGTCTACAATTCTATTAAATATAAAAATTATTAATGCATGATTCCCTAATAAGGCACTAATTTCTATGCATTTGCTAAAAAAAAATTCAGAGTACCTGCAATTAATCAATTGTGAAATATACAAATTGTGAAATGTACGAATTACAGTTAATAATGGATGACGGAGAACAGAAGCCTTTAATAGAGATGTTCTTCTTCGCTTTCTACATCTTTTACGTTCTACTTCAATTATATCTCTATTGCTACGTCGGTGAAAAACTTTGGTTCGAGGTAGACGAAAAATTAATGATTAAACAATATCTTTAAAATGAAATTCAAAGTTATTGAATAAAAATTTGTACTTTCAGAGTACCGAACTTGCTCGTGCCGCATACGAATGTAAATGGTACAATTTATTACCGGAGGAGGCAAGATCACTGTTATTGATAATCTATCGATCGCGATCACCTTTGCGTCTAACAGCTGGCAAATTCTGTATTTTGAATCACGAACTTTACAGCACCGTAAGTAATTATCATCGAATAACTAAACAATTTTTGTTTTATATACTTAAGTAATAGTAAATAAATAATCATCGCTAATAAAAAGGAGATACTTATAAGGTGAATTATTACAGGTTTTGAAGACATCAATGAGTTTCCTGTCTGTTTTGCGTGCAACAATGGCAAAGGACGAATGATACATTCGAAGCTTTTCACAAAATACTATGGCATCTTAGAATTGAATATTTTCAAACAAAAAATATATCGATAATATATAATATCTTATTCCTACTTTCATTCGAGGATTTATTAAATCATAATCCTGACAAATTTTAATAAATGCATTTTTCACGAATTAATACGATTTTTCTACGTTTGAAATAAGAAGAGCGAAAAAATGAGAATAAACTTAGAATGATTATGACAAAAGATATATTCTTATTTCAAGTATAGGGATATTTTTTGAATAATAGCTACGTATATAATATAACGTTTCTGCAAACGAAATCCTCCATCCAGAGGATTCTCCTATTTCCTTTCATAATTCCTATTTCTTTTCCAAATAAAACAAACCAATGTTCGTAATGTACAAAAAATTAACAAATTAATCTACATTTTCAGAAATAAAGAAAATATCCATAAACCGTATCACATGAAATTCATGAGAAATAATGATTTCCACATGTCGGAGAAAGAGAATGCACGCGTTGCGCTTTGATCTAAAAGATCAAGAAAGAAGAGCGTAGGAGGAGGAGGAGGGATGAGAAGAGGTAATAGACAAAAAAAAGAGAGAATAAAAATTGAATAAATTTTAAGGACATCTTTAAGCATAGATTGCACGAATTCAACGATTATATGCGACATATAGTTGGAGATAACATTTTCTTTCTCATCCGTTTCCTTCTTAGTTCTTCCATTTCTATTACACATTTTTCCCCCTCGGACGACATTTTCTCCAGAAAATGTTAATAAATCTTTCAATAGTTTTCAACAGCCGATTCGTTTCAATGCCTTGAACGTGGGCAAGTGCACGCAATACTATTCGACGCATGCATAATTAATAAAGAAGAATCAATGAAGGCATCAATTATGACAATCCGTCGAGCTATAGGGTCGTCGAATATTCTAAAGACATAGTTATCTCCTTCGATAGGGCTTGAAAATACATTCTACAGTTTTCCTACGTGAATTACATTTGTTCTGAAAATGTTACACTGTAAAGATATTAAAAAAGCATCTCGAAATAAGGAAAAAAAAATTTAATCAAACATCGAGTTATTTGATTCTTCTATAAAAAAAAAAAAAAAAAAAAAAAAAAATTGTTTAATAAGTCTATTTTAATAATTACTAAACGCTTCTTCATAAATGTTTTTTTCTTTTTCTTTACTTTTTTTTTTTTAGACTCGTCGATAATATCGAAGAATAATTCATTGGCACGTTACTGCTGCAAATCTTTGGCTGTTGGACATAAATTTGGATTACATGTTTTATTTTTTTAATATCGATAATTGTCCATCCTACACGTCATTAAATACAAAAAAATAAATTCACGCTAATTTAAAGCGACTACTATACCTATCTAAATGAATACTATACACTCAAATAATTTGTTGAAATAATCTTACTATTATGTCTATTAAAATCTACGAGATCTATCGATCGTACCTTCTTGTCAAGTTTTATCGACTTATACTCTTACACTATGTATCAGACTACTTCGAGCTGGTAATCCAACGCATTGTTGGTAACACGGAATGTTTCCACAAATCCTAAACCAAAGTAACCGCTAGAGTTGTAACCTAGAAGTAGCTTTGAAGCTCATACCACAGAGGGATCTATTCGATAAACACAAGTAACATTTACTGATCTATCCTGATAAAAGGGATTCATTTTCAAGATTAAAAAATCAATTGAGGAGGATTAGATTCCAATACGAACACCTACACGGATGTTATTTGACGCATGACAAGTAGCTCAACAAATACACACACACAAATATATATTAAGAAAAGATAAGTTAAATAAGATAACGAAATTCTTATGCTACAGAGGATGGGAATAAACGATACAACATAAAATAGAAGCTAAGTCATTCAAGTCATAACCATGCATCGGTGGAATGAATATCTTCATACATCGCACGTAAACTTTTTAACAACGTAGGTAACAGTACTACGCTCTTATACATGTATTGCAATTTAAATATGTACTGCAGTTTTTCAAAACGTCTATGAACTACTTGTTGGTATTTTATACATTTATACAATATAAACGCATTATCAAACGTTAAACAAAAGGAAGAATATGATGCAAACAATTCTTTCAATTCGCCAATTTTACTAAATAATTAGTTATATTTTAACGACCTGATCATGTTTCTCTAAAATTATCAAATTCCTACATCCCATAAAATAAGTCTTCTTAAGTACTCAATTTCATCGATATTGAAAGGATGTCTTTGTTAAATATTAATCAAGCGAGAGACATATTTTATAATAAAATTATACGACAAATCGCTTAGAGTGTCCAACGATAGAGGGATCTTTTTAGGACACTCGTCTCTAATATATGTCTATGGCTATTAAAAAGTATCAAAAATTTCCTAAAACAGATCCTCAACAACTTACCCCAACTCCTTCGCAATTACCTAAAGTTGAAGTATTCAACGAAATTTTCTATGTGTTAAAAATCTAATTTTATGAATGAACTAAAAAAAAAATATGATCTAGACAGATATTCACGTCACAACGTACGTTGATTTTCCAGAGCATGCGCCTTATGCATGATTCAAAGAAGATATCACGCAGAATGCGAAAGAAACAAAGAAACGAATCAGTTCCCGATAAGACGTTGTCACAAGAACCAACATGACCGTTGGTGAAGGTAGGGACTGATTAAATATTTTTTACTTATTCCATTTCTTAATTAATATTTACAATTTTTATCTCTATCATTTTCAATTTCTTTTAAGTATCGTTCATTATTATATAAACATAATAAGAATGATCGATACAATAATTGAACGTAATCTTCCAACGACGAATTTCTCCTAAAGTGCATATTGTGAATATAATTTCTTTTTCTCTCTCTCTCTCTCTATCTTTCCTCCCATTCTTTTCCTGAATTCGATACTGAATCTTGTCAGATTTGAATAATATATCATACTAAACCGTAATTTCGCATTGCTATTGGTTATGGTCACGCGATCGTGACCAACAAATATGTGATTCACGATAATCCCTATATATATCCAAAATTAACGCACGCTGTATACCTAAAATCAAATGATATTAGACTAAAGCGTCCTATGTTAACGAAAGTTTCACAAGTGGAATACGCTTGCGGATGGAACTTGTACACGATGAAATTTATGGGGATTTGGCCAGAGGAAAGAAGGTTCGATCAAATTTCGAGCTACAAAGTGTTAATAGGAATTAGCTTCATCATCTTATTCTGCATTATACCTCAATACATACTACTCTATTTCGACCGATGTGATTTCGACTTGGTTATGGAAAATCTATCTTTGGACACCATAAACGAAACGATCTCATTCATGAAGATGATATTCTTCTGGTCTAGCGGTGGACGTAAATACATTTCATTTATTTCAATCCCTCTATAACTTTATATAAATTTAAACTCGATAAAATTTATATCTCCGTATTTCTTAAGTTTCATTTTATTTTATTCGATTAGAAAATTCATTGTTACTACGTATACATGAGATTATTAATTTTTCTAAACTGCAAGTTACGATAGTACAATTATACATAATAATAGGAGCAATATCAAGTATAATATTTCTTTTAAAAGATGATCAAAAAATAGAGTTACAGAGGGTTAACAATAAAATATATCAGCTGAATATAAAGACAATAGTTACACTTTTTACATTTTTTTCTCACGCTTCCACGCTTATTTTTATCAAACGTTTCTATCGAAGAAATAAAGGATCTTCTCCGCGCAATGGAGGAAGACTGGAAGGAAGTATCTACGAAGGAAGATGAAAAAAAAATGATGGAATACGCGAAATTTAGTAGGAACCTATCTACGAGAGCAACAGCTATCTGTTATGCTCTTATCCTTGTTTATACCGTCAAGCGATGTCTATCGATGCGTACCGACGGTCGTCTTTTATTTTTCCCTGCGTATTTTCCAATTGAGACAATGACTAGTCCAATATTTGAATTAAAGTTCATCGGTCAAATGATAGGTGCAACTTATTATACAGTAACGTATACGGCAGTAGATACTTTCTTAGCCATGTTGATCCTTCACGTGTGTGGACAACTTTGGAGGCTACGAAACGATCTGATCAATCTGAATTCCGCTACGAGAGAAGAATTTCAGATCAAATTAAGTTACATCGTAAAAAGGCACGATTATTTAAACAGGTACCTAATGGTCCAGAATCACGTAATAATTTGACAAAATCAAAATAAATGATTATAACATTATCATCAACTATTATAAGTTAATTTCTTCAGATTCATCGATACGATAGAAAATCGATTCAATATAATGCTCCTATTTCAAATACTCGGCTGTACCGTGCAACTCTGTATGGAATGTTTTCAAGGACTTTTGGTAAAATTCAAACAAAAAATCCATAGACTCGTCTGCGCATCGATATATCTGTCTACCATTATCACAGAATTTTTATACAAATCGTTCAAATCTTGTACATTCGCTACAACTCCATATTACATAATAATAATTTTCAATTATTTATTAACACATCCTACATTAATACCACGCGAATTTCTCTACATCTATTAAAAAAATTCAAGAAACATTTACAATTAACCAATCCTAAAATTGAACAAGCTTACGAATTTCAGTTAATGGCCGATGAAGGAGAACAGAAGCCTTTAGTAGAGATGTTCTTCTTCGCTTTTTACATCTTTTACGTTCTTCTTCAACTATATCTCTACTGCTACATCGGTGAAAAACTTTGGTCCGAGGTGGACGAAACAATAGTGGTTAAAAAATGCCTTCGAAATGAAAAAATATAAAGCTACCGAATAAAAATCTGTCCTTTCAGAGTACCGAACTTGCTTATGCAGCTTACGAATGTGTATGGTATGATTTACTACCGAACGAGGCCAGATCCCTGATATTGATAATACGTCGAGCACGAACACCATTGCGTCTGACAGCAGGCAAATTCTGTATTTTCAATCATGAACTTTACAGCAGCGTAAGTAATCCCACGAGGCAGAATAAAATGAACAACTCATTTCCTACATCTAAATAAATCATAATAACTCGTAACCGATAAAAACGTGATACCTGTACTGTTGAAATTATTTATTGTAGGTTTTGAAGACGTCAATGGGCTATCTATCTGTTTTACGCGCAACAATGATAAATGATGAACAATGATATTTTCAATTTAATTCACAAATAATTATATTATCATAGAATCGAATATATTCGAGCAAAAAAAGTCGAGATCATATAACAATTAGTTTGTAATTTCTTTCCAAGATTTATTAAATCATGATCCTCTCAAAATTCCCATAACGCTTTTTTTCTATCATCACTCGCCGTATATAAATTTATTTTTATAGAATGAATTCTTTTTTTTCCATATACTCAAACAATTTGTTGAAATAATCTTACTATTATGTCTATTAAAATCTACGAGATCTATCGATCGTACCTTCTTGTCAAGTTTTATCGACTTATACTCTTAAACTATGTATCAGACTACTCCGAGCTGGTAATCCAACGCATTGTTGGTAACACGGAATGTTTCCACAAATCCTAAACCAAAGTAACCGCTAGAGTTGTAACCTAGAAGTAGCTTTGAAGCTCATACCACAGAGGGATCTATTCGATAAACACAAGTAACATTTACTGATCTATCCTGATAAAAGGGATTCATTTTCAAGATTAAAAAATCAACTGAGGAGGATCAGATTCCAATACGAACACCTACACGGATATTATTTGACGCATGACAAGTAGCTCAGCAAATACACACACACAAATATATATTAAGAAAAGATAAGTTAAATAAGATAACGAAATTCTTATGCTACAGAGGATGGGAATAAACGATGCAACATAAAATAGAAGCTGTCATTCAAGTCATAACCATGCATCGGGGGAATGAATATCTTCATACATCGCACGTAAACTTTTTAACAACGTAGGTAACAGTATTACGCTCTTATACATGTATTGCAATTTAAATATGTACTGCAGTTTTTCAAAACGTCTATGAACTACTTGTTGGTATTTTATACATTTATACAATATAAACGTATTATCAAACGTTAAACAAAAGGAAGAATATGATGCAAACAATTCTTTCAATTCGCCAATTTTACTAAATAATTAATTATATTTTAACGACCTGATCATGTTTTTCTAAAATTATCAAATTTCTACGTCTCATAAAATAAATCTTCTTAAGTACTCAATTTCATCGATATTGAAAGGATGTCTTTGTTAAATATTAATCAAGCGAGAGATATTTTATAATAAAATTATACAACAAATCGCTTAGAGTGTCCAACGATAGAGGGATCTTTTTAGGACACTCGTCTCTAATATATGTCTATGGCTATTAAAAAGTATCAAAAATTTCCTAAAACAGATCCTCAACAACTTACCCTAACTCCTTCGCAATTCCCTAAAGTTGAAGTATTATCGAAATTTTCTATGCGTTAAAAATATAACTTCGTGAATGAACTTAAATCTAGACAGTCATTCACGTCACAGTGTACGCTGATTTTCCAGAGCATGCGCCCAACGCATGTTTCGAGAAAGATGCCACGCGAAATGCGAAAGAAGCGAACAAAAGAATCAGTTCCTGATAGGACGTTGTCACAAGAACGAACATGACGACCATTAATAGAGGTAGAGACCGATTAAACATTTTTTACTAACACCATTTCTTAATTAATATTTACAATTTTTATCTCTATCGTTTTTTCAATTTCGTTTAACTATCGTTCACAATTATAGAAACATGATGAACAATGATCGATGCAACAAAATTAAATTGAAGTAATTTTGAAAAAATGAATTTCTTCTAAAGTTCATATAATGAATATAATTTCTATTTCTCTATCACTCTCCCTCCATCTCACTCCTCAAATGGGATCCCAAATTTTCTAAGATTTCTAAGAGATTGTAATATACCATATCGATCCGTACCTTAGGAGCCCATGATCGTGACCAACGAATATGTGATCCACGACAATTCCTATACAATTCCAAAATTATTGCACACCTAATACCTGCAATCTAATTCGAATATACTAACGTGTCCTATGTTAACGAAAGTTTCGCAAGTGGAGTACGCTTGCGGATGGAACTTCTACACGATGAAATTCATGGGTATATGGCCAGAAGAAAGAAAGTTCGATCGAATCTCGAGCTACAAAGTATTAATAGGGATTATCTTCATCCTCTCATTCTGCACTATACCTCAATACATACTACTCTATTATGATCGACGTGATTTCGACTTGGTTATAGAAAATCTATCTTTAGACACCATAAACGGAACGATCTCATTCGTAAAGATGATCTTCTTCTGGTTTAACGGAGGACGTAAATACATTTAATTTATTTCAATCCCTCTATAATTTTATATAAATTAAAACTCGATAACATTTAGATCTCCGTATTCCTTAAGTTTCATTTCATTTTATTCGATAGAAAAAATTAATTATTACTAATTCATTACATATACGAGATTATTAATTTTTTTAAACTGCAACTTACGATTCCGTATGATACAATTATACGGAATAGTAAACGTAACATCAATTATAATAATTTTTTTTGAACACAACCAAAAGATAAAGTTACAGAGGGTTAACGATAACAGCTAGATATATATATATATATATAGACAATAATTTTACTGTTTATATCTTATCCTACGTTTCCACGCTTAGTCATATCAATTGTTTCCATTGAAGCAATAAAAGATCTTCTCCGCGCAATGGAGGAAGATTGGAAGGAAGTATCTATGAAGGAAGATGAAACGAAAATGATGAAATACGCAAAATTCAGCAAGAATCTAGCTATGAGTGCAACCCTTATTTGTTATGCTGTCATCGTTATATATACTATCAAGAGATGCCTATCGATGCGTACCGAGGGTCGTCTTCTATTCTTCCCTGCGTATTTTCCATTTGAGACAATGACTAGTCCAACATTCGAATTTAAGTTCATTGGTCAAATGATAGGTACAACTTATTATACAGTAATGTATACGTCAGTGGATACTTTCCTAGCCATGTTGATCCTTCACGTGTGTGGACAACTTTCGAGACTACAAAACGTTCTCATCAATTTGAATTCCGCTACGAGACAAGAATTTCAAATCAAATTAAGTTACATCGTAAAAAGGCACGATTATTTGAACAGGTACCTAATGATTCAGTACGTAATAATTTTGCAAAATCAAAATAAATGATCTTAACGATTGCAACATTATCATCAATTGTTATAAGCTAATTTCTTTAGATTCATCGATACGATAGAAGATCGATTCAATTTAATGCTCCTCTTCCAAATACTCGCTTGCACCGTGCAACTCTGTATGGAATGTTTTCAAGGACTTTTGGTAAAATTCAAACAAAAAATCCCTAGATTCGTCTGCACATCGATATATCTCTCTACCATTATCTCTCAATTTTTTTACAAACCATCGAGATCTTGTACATTCGTTACAACTCCATATTACATAATAATTAAACTCCATATTACATATTTATTAACGCATCCTTCATTAATACCATGCGAATTTTTCTATATCTATTAAAGATACATTTATAATTAATCAATCGTGAAATATCTACAAGAGTACGAATTTCAGTTAATGGTCAATGGAAAAATGCAAGTAGTAGAGATTGGATTCTTCGCACTCTACATCTCTTACGTTCTACTTCAATTATATCTCTACTGCTACGTCGGTGAAAAACTTTGGTCCGAGGTGAACGAAACATTGGCGATTAAAGAAATATCTTTCGAAATGAAATACAAAGCTATCGATTAAAAATCTGTCCTTTCAGAGTACTGAACTTGCTACTGCCGCATACGAATGTAAATGGTACGATTTACTACCGAACGAGGCTAGATGCCTGATACTGATAATCCGTCGAGCACGATCACCTTTGCGTCTAACAGCAGGAAAATTCTTTACTTTAAATCATGAACTTTACAGCAGCGTAAGTAATCCAAATGTGCCACTAAAAAATGAATAATTTCTTTTTATAATGAAATAAATCACAAATCGTAGTTAATAAAAATGAGATACCTGTACGTTGAAATTGTTTTTATAGGTTTTGAAGACATCAATGGGCTATCTATCTGTTTTGCGTGCAACAATAATGAAAGATGAATGATAGATTCAATTTAATTTAGACATAATTATATTATCATAGAATCGAATATATTCGAACAAAAAATATCGAGATCATATGGCATTTTGTTCGTAGTTCCTTTCAAAGATTAATTAAATCATAATCCTGTCAAATTTTCTATATCTTTCTTCTTCTATCAACACTCTCTCCGTATCAACTTATTTTTATAGAATTTTTTTTTTCCCTCTGAATTAATATACTTTTTGCATATACGAGGACAATACTCGACGTCTACGAGCGCACTAGTCCGTGGTCAAACATTTCCGACATGAATTTAATAAATAATAAATATGGTATTACCCTAGCTTTTGTTAGAGCATGCGCTATGAAAGTAACCGAACTTATGCTTCTCGAAATAAGAAAGGAACCGCCCGGAAACAGTCCTTGGTACGTTCTTGTCGCAAAAGCCTACATGGATAAAAGTCGAGGTAGCAAATTCCTTTGGAAATTTTAGGCGTGCTTATATCGATATCAAAAGTAAAAAATTAAAAAAGAAAAAAAAATAAATTTTCAACTATCATCAAAAATATTCTAATCCGATCGATTTGTCTAATATAAAAACAAAATAAATATACATAAGATCAATTAATTAATTAACAGTGGATGATAAAAAAATTTCACACGTCCATTACGCTTGTGGCTGGAACATCTACAGCATGAGATTCATGGGTCTTTGGCCGGATGAGAAGTTGATCAGTCCATCGGAGAACATAAAAGTTTTCTCCGCGATATTTTTCATGTTTTTTTTCGTAAGCTTACCGCAAACGATAAATCTTTTCTTCATATGGGGTGACTTCGATCTGGTCGTAGAAAATCTGTCTATGGATAACATGACCATTTCTATTGCGATTCTGAAGACTATCGCTTTTTGGCTTAATGGAAAATGTAAAGTAAATGTTCTAAAATCATTTAAATATTATCATACATAACAACGAAATTAATTCTAAATTCGAATTATTTTATTTTGTCAAAGCCCTGAAAGGACTGTTAAACTTCATGGAGAAGGATCGCAAGGAAGCTACGAAAGAAGATGACGTTAAAAGGATGATGATCGTAGCTGAAATTTCAAGAAAAATAACCATAACGGCCAACATAATGTGTAACAGCCTCGTCGTTTTTTACGCCATAATGCATTTGGCAACAAATTATGCAAACGCCCGTGGACTCTTCTTCCCAGCCTATTTTCCATGGGAAACGAAACCCAGTCCAAATTATGAATTAATCTTTTTCGGACAGTTAATGGGCTCCTTTTATGCTTGCGCTACTTATTCCGTGGTCGACACATTCGTCGCTACTCTGGTGTTACACGTTTGCGGACAATTGGCTAATCTGAGGCACGAGCTAATTAATTTGCGAAGCGAAACGAATAATGAATTTCAGGCAAAGTTAGGACGCATCGTGAAGAAACACGAATACCTTAACGGGTGAGCTGAAACTGAACTGATAATATTTCTATGATAACGATCGTTACCGATCTACGTAATTGAATTTTCTTTTATCCAAGATTCACAGAAACGATTGAAAAATGCTTCAACATTATGTTACTGATTCAGATGTTAGGATGTACCATAACACTCTGCTTGGAAAGCTTTCAAACGCTCGAAGTAAATAAAAATTACAACACACACACACATGTGTGTGTGTGTGTGTGTGTGTATATATATATAATAAAATATATAACAAAAATTTGTCTATTTTTCTTTTCAACTCTCGTAGTCTCTAACAGGTGAAAAGGATAAATTCTTTCTATTGGAACTCGGATGCGCAGCATTCTACGTCTGTTATATCCTAATTCAACTTTATCTCTATTGTTACGTGGGCGAGAGACTTCTTTCAGAGGTAAATTTGAATCTAAAATCGTTGTACTTAACGATCTCGTCTTTACTACCGATATAATATTTCACATCAATGAACTTGTACTATTTTTTTATCTAAAAATAAGAAATAATATATATATGCGAATGATACATTGATAGAATTTATTTTGCAATATGTTAATAGATTCAGTTTATTAATAGTCCTGAAACGTTGCATTTTAGAGTACAGAAATGGCGAGTGCTGCCTACGAATGCGAATGGTACAATTTGTCACCGAACGAAGCAAAATGTCTCATACTGATCATGCGCCGCGCGAGATCGCCCTTGCGCATTACAGCTGGAAAATTTTGTTCCTTCAATCATGAGCTTTTCAGCGAAGTAAGAAAAAGAAAAAAAACTCGACGGTTTGCCGATCTTATCATATTTCAAATAAATTCTAAATCAATAAATCCATTCTAAATGTATCGTTTCAATTACTTAATTAAATCTCCTATATATCTCGACAATAAAAAAAAAAAAAAAAAAAAAAAAAAAAAAAAACAAAAAAAATAACCATTGTAAAACGTATGCTTCAGGTCGTTAGAACATCAATGGGTTATTTATCGGTTCTCTACGCAGTGAAGACCGAAGAATAAAAATAAACATACAATGTCTGTAAACAAAATATTATTGTAAAGTCTAGTAATATTGTTCGAATAATAACTAGACAAACAAAATAAAATCAATGTGTATTTCTGAAAATAAAATCCTTCATCCTGATACTTGTCATTTTTTTCTCCCAAAAAACCATAATTCATACTTTCTCGCTAAATATATATTAAAGAAAGAAAAAGTAAATCTAATGCTACTTAGGTTAAAAAAAAAATTTGAGAAATTTAATCCACATCTCATTGTTAGAATATCAAGGTCGACATAAAAAGAATATCTATAAACCGTATCATATAAAATTCGATCGATGTACCACGTCAGAGAAATAAAATGCGCGCGTTGCTTCTAAGATATCGGAAAAGAGAAGAGGGGAAAGGTGAGTTGAGGCGAGATGAAAGAAGGGGGAGGGGGAGGGGAGAGAAAAAGAGAATGCAGTAAATATTAAAGAGATCTTCGAAAGTGCAGGTTGCACGAGAGTCCATCGAATATGCAACATAAAGTTGAAGATAACATTTTTCCTCCCACCGTCCCTCCTAACCCCCTCACCCTCTCTCCTTCCTTTGCATTCCCATTTCTTCGACACTTTTTTTCCTCAGGCTACATTTTTCTCCGAACCTTGAATACATCTTTTAACAGCTTGGGCTCCGATCAATTGTCATAATGCGTAAGTGCACGCAATACTACTCGATACATGCATGATTAATAAATAAGAACCTATGAAGCTATCAATTACGACAATCCGTCATGCTATAAAATCATCGAATATTCTAAAGACGTAGTTACGGCATCTCCTTCGATAGGACTCGAAAATGCGCGCGCAATAAAAATTATCCTACTTGGCTTCCCTAAGTTTCTTACCCCCTCCTCCTTATGTAGTTGTCGTACGCTGACGGTGAATTTTAATTCGGAAAAAAGTAAAAAAGAAGAAGAAAAAGAAGAACTTTTCTCCTTCGTCTATTAATAATTTATCGTTGTGAGAAAATAACACGCCGCGAAGAATTTTCACGTCTGCGCGGACGAAGCTTTTTCTCTCTCTTTTTTTTTCTTTTTTTTTTTTTCTTTCTTGTCTTTTCCTTTTTTTCTTTTCTTCCTGTTTCTTTGCGCAGGGATACAACCACGAGGAGGAGACATACGTGTATCCTCTCTTCTTTCAAGTATTCACGCGAGTTTTTCCAGACGATCGTCGCGATTCAACTTTCGTCTTGTTATGTGTTATTGTTTTTCTTCTTCTTTTTCTTTTCTTTTCTTTTCTTTTCTTTTTTAAGCGTGACGATACCAATTTTTCTATCAATTACTCTCTTTTTTTCTCGTTTCTTCTTCTTCTTCTTTTTCCTTTTTCTCCCTGTTCTTTTCGCAGCATTAAATAAAAACTTTGTTCATCACCTTTATCATTTTTCGTTTCCTAACAAAAAAAATTGATTTCACGAGTTCGACAGAAAAAAAAAAAAATAAAATAAAATAAAAATAAGAAGAAGAAGAAAAAGAAGAAAGGCTCTCCTTGCATCATCAAGTGACAACGAACGCTTCTATCTGGTAAAAGTTTTCACTCGTTCAAGCTTTCACCATTTATTTCCGTCAACTTTAAAAGAAGAAAGTTTCTAAGGTAAGGACATAATTATGAACGAAAGGCGAACACGAGACAACTAATAAGCATTATTAACGACAAATTGTCGTCGTGTCGTATCATCGTCACAATAGAAAAAAGAAACGTACTTTGACGATCCCTTCCTTTCTCTCTCTCTCACTCTCAAAGTATATACATACATGCACGAAGGTAAAATGCACATCACGATTCAACGAGAAAGCATCAACACGATTCTATATAAAAATGATGCCGCATATTGTCACCAATGTCATTTTGCTTTAAACTATACTAGACGACAGAACAACTTATCTATTTTATCTTAAAATATTTTATTCTTTAAATATGAATTTCGATCGTTCTAATCTTTTTATTCTATCAATTAATTTATCCTTCTTCTAATTAATAATTCTTTTAATCCTTAATTAATTATATATATATATATATATATATATATGTTTTAGATTTTTTTGTTTAATATCTTATATATATATATAAACATTTTACTTAAAAATAAAAGTTTTATAATACAAAATATGTTGTTCGTCGATAGAAGAACGTTTGTTATAATCTTTTTATTGATTTACTCGGTAATAGCACGAAATACGGAAAGTCAAGATTTTCGTAAAGAAATCAATAATAAAAAGGGTGGTTCGATGTTAGCAGAGATCGCAAAGGAATTCATGCAACGATCGACTACTACCAGCCAGGTGAGTAAACGTTATATATTAATTTAATTTTTATTCTAACATCTCTGGAGAATGATGTATACGATAGATACGGTCCTGTTTAAAATTAAAAAAAAAAAAATGATAATGATAATAGTCAGGCCGTTAAGTTGATTTAAGTTATTTTTAATATATATATATATATATATATATATATATATATATATATATATATATGTTTGTATGTATGTATGTATGTATGTATGTTGTATGTAGCGTACATTATTCCGATAGAATTGTTTTCACTATACGGCTCATTTTATCGTTAATTTCACACTTATGCGAAAAAAAAAAAACTCGAATGTAGTACGTACACGAGAATACTCGTAGTTCATTCATGTATTACTTACCTGTAACGTAACGAATTAGAAATTGCATAGTAATTTAATATTTTTCAAGATGTCCGTCGTCCCTTCGACGTTCCTTTTTTCTTTCAATGTCTCTTCCTCACGAAGTTGTAATTTCATGAACGATCACTTTACTTTCAGTTACACCTAAGAAAAATATTTACTCTATATGATCAAACGAATTTGGTAGAAAAATCAACACCAATTTATATATAAATGAATCCATATCTTACCGACACACAAGACACGCTATGAGCATTCGTCCGCCATGATTGCTTAAACTGCGAAACAAAAGCCTATCGTATTTCAAATCATACATATACGAAAAATAAAATAAAAAGAAAAAAGAAAAAAGATCGTAGCGACATCCAACGAGCATTATTGTTATCGTTAAAAATTCCTACCTTATTCTATTTGATTCCTTATCGAAATAAAAAAGAATGTTACTTTACCGATAGAAAAACAATTAAAACCTATCTGTCTCATTTTATATAGGTACTAAATCTGAATTTATCTAATCTACTGCTACTTCTCGTATTAAAAGCTGTAGTTTTTGGTGCTGGATATATAGGAAATCATGGTTATAAAGGACGCGATTTGAACGAAGGTTCGTACGTCCATGATTATTTATCGTATATAAAAATTCTATGTATGATATTACGTCTGAAATATTTTTCATTCTATAAATATATATCTGTATAATTTTTATCGTATAATCAAGATATAATCAATTGTTATTGATATTTCAATACAAATATTAAAAATTTTTCATTCTAAATTGAAATCTTGAAATTTTAATTGTATATTTTCTTGTGCCGTAGAAAATATAATATCCGAAGGAGAAGTCGCTTTGGCACTGGGATATTTGATCGGTGATACGTGTCTGTATAGAGCAGCTTGCGAAGAACCACATATTGCTAAAGAATATTTAGGTGCTGCTGAAATGCTTTTACATACGATGAAATTAATGCCACAGTATGTATTAAATATATTAATATCAAATAACGAGCTATTAATTTGTTAAGAAAAATAATACATTTGTTTTTTTCTTTGTTTATATATTATAGGACCGTATCCGTCGAACATAAATACGAAAAGACTATAAGCGAACTTCGAAAAGCTATCGAGTACGGATTTACAAGCAGATGTCCACCAGAATATAATTGTAAAAAGGAAAATATCAAAGCATTCTTAACGACGGAGAAGAAGAAATAAAACGTAAGATTTATATTCGAAGCTTTCAGCTTTTTATTCTAACGTAGAAAATATTTTGAATGTTTATTGAAGGCACGCAAAAAAAAAGAAAAAAAAAAAAAAGAAAAGAAACGTTTGCTTTTTTCCTGTCTATGTTATGATTGATATAATTATTTGCGAACGTTCTATTCACACGAATTAAAATGTAACATATAGATTACGAATTTAGAGGTGGGTTATATTGCGTATTAGTTGCGTATTTCCTAACCTATGTACATTTCGATGATGCGAAGGATGATATAATGCTCATCGACAAATTCTCTTTCTATATTCATGTAATTTACTTTTTTCTTTTCTTTTTTTTTTTACATATATAAGAAAACTAAAAAAAAAGCTATGAAAATTGCGTCATAGTACCGAGTACCATAGCTCTACACACATTCCCATTATTATATTATCCATACAAAATATACATACGCATCTAACGCGTAAAAAAAAAAAAAAAAAAAAAAAAAAAAAAAAAAAAAAAAAAAACGTGAAATCTACTAAAGTTGCGATAAGTATGGAAAAAAAGAAAAAAAGTGAAATGAAATTTTCTAGAATATAAATATAAATATAAATTTCTGAGAGAAAAAAAAATGCCGTAAAATTGTAAAAAGAAAGAAAAATATTTAAGTACGCAGTCGATTGTCGTTTACAAAAATTAAAGACAACGAAAGTAATGTCAATCTCATATCGTGGAGATTGCTGCGTACGAAGATCTGATTAAAAATAAAACATTAAAAATTTCAAGACTCGACAGGTGGATACGTATATATGTATGTATGTACGAACGTTTAAACGAGAACCTTCCTCGGCGAGGTACAACAACGTAATGAACTAACATCGAGTTATACGCTCGAGGTTAAACGCTTCGATCGTTCTGTTGTTTTGTTTACCTTTATCAATCCCCAAGAGAATTCCTACATTACGTCGAATGTTTGTATTTTACCTCTGTACTTAAACCATTTCGATCTTGATCTCTCTTCGAATGTTAAAATAAAAACAATTTCGCGTAAAACATTTACACCGCTTAAGATACGAAGAAGCTTGATGAATACTGCCTTTTCATTGGCTGATACTTTTATCGAGACATGCATATTCGATATTTATAATGTTACGTTGGTAAATAATATGTTTTATTTATAATTGAATCGAATATGATATTGATATACAATGCATAATTAAGAAAATAATTAAAACCATTTTATTTTAATTATTAATTTATACACACACACTCTCTCTCTCTCTCTCTCTTTCCCTCTACTTTCTCTTTCTCTTGCATGCAAAGACCGAAAGTTGCAGAAATAAACGGTAGAGGTCACGTAAGTTCCACTCTTGTCCTCTCGTGGCGCTGACGAATCAGTTTTGATATTTCATCCATTCACGCATTTTCTAGCGGGTAAACAATTTTTCATCATTCCCGAAGAAACAGTAATCTTTCTGAAATTCGGTGAGACATGAGTTCCATCGGTACCGGGGTAAATATATAATCATCATGGATTTTATAATTTTACAATATTCTATTGGCATATCGAAGATAAGTGTAACACATAACCTCTAACAATTTCAGTATGATCTGTCCGCATCTCAATTTTCACCGGACGGACGCGTTTTTCAAGTGGAATACGCACAAAAAGCTGTTGAAAATGGAGGGTAATATTTTACTGAATGATTTATGAAAAATAAAAAAATTCATACGTAATATAGAAACTATGATTATCGATTTATCATTTATCTGTCATTTATAGCACTGTCATTGGTTTAAGAGGGAAAGATGGTGTAGTATTTGCCATAGAAAAACTTATTACTTCTAAACTTTACGAACTGGTGCAAACAAAAGAATATTCAACATAGATCAACATATTGGCATGGTAGTATCTGGACTTATATCCGATGCAAGACAAATAGCAGAAACTGCAAGATCGGAGGCTGCCAGTTATCGTTCTCAATATGGAATAGGCATTCCTTTGAAATATCTGAATGAACGCGTTTCTATGTATATGCATGCTTATACATTGTATTCGGCTGTAAGGCCGTATGGTTGCTCTGTAATTCTTGGAGCTCACGAAGTAGATGGTCCAACTATGTATATGATAGATCCTTCTGGCGTGTCTTATGGTTATTACGGTTGTGCAGTAGGTGAGTATAACGTTTAATCTATTACGTATGAAATCGAATATAGGCATTGTTAATAGGTTCTTCTTCTCTTTGTTGTGTCTTTTATTAATTAGGTAAAGCAAAACAAACTGCAAAGACAGAAATTGAGAAATTAGAATTGTCCGATATGACTTGTAAAGATTTAGTGGAAGAGGCAGCACGTATAATTTATTTAGTACACGACGAATTGAAAGATAAACAATTCGAATTAGAGATGAGTTGGGTAGGCGCGCATACTAATGGAAAACACGAACGTGTACCAACAAAAATAAAGGAAGACGCAGAGAAGAATGCACGAAAGGCAATGGAAGAAAATTCGGACAGTGATGTTGAAGATGAATACATTGAAAAAAAATAATAGCACTCTCTCTCTCTCTATATATATATATATATATTTTATATTGTAAGTCATAACTTAAACTTGTAAGTACAAGCTGGATTAAAAAAAAGTCATCATTGTTAATGAGAGAGCCGAATAAAAACACCGCCCTCTTTCTAAATTCATATTACGTTCTATTTACAATTTTACGTAAACCTTTATCTTGATGTTAAATTCATATGTCGTACTATATTTTTAACGAGAAAAACAAATGGTTACCTATACCTTGTTAAATCATAGCTATTATTAATAACTGCATTGACGATCGACCTTGACATTAATCCAAAATTAACGACTATAATCTCTTTGTGTCATTAGCACGGGATTTAAAATATTTTTTTTCCGGCTCTAACGATGAAACGTTTAAAGTACCTACGTTATATGACAAAAAATACGCAGGTGTATAACGGAATATAAATAATTGGTAAATGGAATAAAATCAATGTCACAAAAAGTTGCGTGCGTCATTGCAACTTTAATTGTGTTAATATTTTAACAAACTTTTATCATTTTTATTTATAATTTTTACAAAATAGAGAAAAAGTATGACCACCGTGGGATAAAACAAGAAAATAATTTCAGCAAGAGACACCGTCTCTTATCGATGAAAATTGGGAAAAAAAAAAAAAAAAAAAAACAAAAAGAATCTATAATTTCAAATTATTCTAGGTGAAATCTAGAATTAATCTAGATAATATAGATGATATTTTGGATCAAGGGAGTTTTATGTGTACGCCTATAAAGATAAAAGCAGGGGCGGATGAACCACGAGAGAGCATGGTGGTGGTACGCTTCATTTCGCGCATGCTACCTTATCATGTGGGGGTTGCTTGAATCCAGAATGGATAAGAGAAAGAGAGGGAGAGAGAATGAGTGACGCGATGGTGGGAGGAAAGAGGGTGACGAACATATAAGGATAGGGTGACTTCGAAATATCGTCACTGCTTTGATTAATATACGCTAGCAAGTTTTCCCGCGGTTCCCTTCGGGAAAAATTTTGAATAAATTGTGACACGTGACATTAACGCGATTTTCCTTTGTGTTATCATACAAATCACGTATCACGTTGATTTTGCACGAGCATGTCTCTTTATCATCGTGAGGCTGATCACATTAACGTTACTGTTAATGAAGAAATAAGTCCAATTATTTACGTGGGTGCTTCCATTGTACTCGGTATTATTGGCTTTTTTGGTTTTACTCTGAATTTGATTGTCGCATTTATCATCGTTAAGGACGCTCAATCACTCTGGACTCCTGTCAATGTAATTCTTTTCAATATGGTCGTAAGTACGCTCGTTTATCTTATTTTATTTTCTTGAAATCGATTAAAAAAATTGTAGTAAAAATATCATCGATCGTTTGTACGAGTCGCATCGAAAGATGTACGATATATAAAAATTCTCCCAAAATATATTATTTATCAATGATTTCGTTCTTTAAAATATTAAACATACACTTTTAACTTACGATGTATAAAAATTCTCCCAAAATATATTGTTTATCAATGATTTTGTTCTTTAAAATATTAAACATATACTTTCAACTTATGATATCGAAAGTTCATCGAACAGTTATATTTGCTATTACTCAAATGATTGTCCGCTTTGATCCCGCAGGTCGCTCTATAAAGAATTAAGAAAAATGTATTTTATTCTCGAGGGGACAGGAGTATTCGATAAGGGATATAAACTACCAGTCGATATTGTCCTTCCTTCCTCGCGAGCTCCGTCCTCTAAATTCTAGAAAAAGAATAAGTAGGATGAAATAATTGGATTGTCAGAAGCAATAATTCTTCTCTTCAATTTTAAAACCCTATCGATGTCAATTTCATTTTTTATAATCTTGGATAATATAAAAAGAAAATGCGATATTTTCAAAAGCGATCTACGAGAACGACTAAAAAAAAAGAATAATTTCTATTTCAAAGGTTGGAGATTTTATTGTAGCTGCCTTGGGGAATCCTTTGGCAATGATTTCGGCGATCAACGGTGGATGGTATTGGGACTATAACATGTGTCTTTGGTAAAAAAAAAAAAAAAAAAAAAAGAAAAAAAAAACAAGAAAAAAATTAATTTGTATATTATTTACATATATACGTAACAATGAATAGATTCAACGACATTGTCTCAAAAGATAAAAAGCACGTACTGTATATGGCTGTTGATCGCTACACAATGAAATTAAAATCATTTTATCGCTACACAATGAAATTTCATTCATTTCAATTAATTCAAGAATTCAAACATTTCTTTCAAATATTTATTTGTCTCGACATTCTGTAGAATGTGATATTAACAATTTTTTATTACAAAATTTTATTCAAAAAAAATTCATTTGAATGAAATATGTGAAACAAAATGTGTATATTTGTTTTACTAAAAATAGAAGAAAAAAAAAAAATGAGAAAATTCGTAGCGAATAAATTGTAAAAAAATTAAGTCCAAAGGATTAATACTCATTTCTTTGATAATACACAATACGCACATATGTACACGCACACGATGAAAATGGGTTTTAAACACCTTAATGGCATAATAACCAATAATTCCAATAATAACGAAGAGCTTTGACCGTTTCATCGAATAATTTTACGACTTCATTAGCGAGTATTCGATCGATTATTATTTTTGTAATTCAACTCAATTGTTATAGTTTATCGTTAATAATGATATCGAATAATAATAATGATGCGATCGAAATGACATGGTGATAAACGGGCAGTAATATGTACAACTATTATAATTATCTAAAGGATAATTAAAGAAATGGTCAATGCTCGTACTTATCGCTACTGGAATGGTTATCAAAGATATATTTGAAATTTTGTACGTAACTTGTTCGAACAGAGGCAACGTGATTTTATATAAAATCATAGATAAAAATCATAGATAAAAGTACAGTTCTTTCTTTTTTCCACTTTTATCTTTCTATTTTATTATATACTTTTATTTATTTTTATTTTTATTTTCGATGAGAAAATTTTAGTGAAGATTAAAACTAAAACGAAAAATAATAATATACTTATGGACGCATATATGTTAATATTTTTAAAAATAATATTATTTTTTAATATCGATCAACAAACTCTTCATCTAGCTTCCTGTCTCGTCGACAATGGTTCGTCAGATCTCGGATGGACTATGCGATGGATAACGAAATTTCATAGAAAACACGACGCAACCGCATCGGTCGTACGGTCGAAGCGATGTTGCAAACTTTTCTGAAAGACGACCGTATCTTGTGAATTTTAAAAAAGTCTTTTTACAAATTTAATAAGACTCGGTTGATAGTCACGATTGAATCGTCCAACGAAAGGAACTCTTTTTCCCTCTTTCTCTCTCTCTCTCTTTTTTTTATTTACAATAACGAAGGAATTGTCTCTTCGTATGTGCATTTGTGCATTTTGTGTACCAACAAGTTTCAACGTGCACGTATCTAATCATAAAACTACCAATACATATTTGTATTTATTTTCTTTTCTATATTTATTTTTCTCGATAAATCATCAATGATATTTCGATGTTGAAGGTACGCCTGGTTTATGTCGACATTGGGATTCGCTAGTATTGGTAACTTAACCGTGATGGCTGTCGAAAGATGGTTATTAATTACACGACCGATGAAAGCGTTGTCGATTCGGTAAGCCAAACAGTTCCATTTTTAATATATCATTTTTAAATAAATTATCATAGTCGTTCTTATAATTCGTTTCATTTTTCATACTTTCGGTATGGGAGAAAAGAAAAAAAAGAATTTTGAAATTCATTCAAGGAACGAACGCGAATATTTTGTACAATTAGATATTCTTGCGACAAAAAGAGAGCTGTCCTCAAAGTCAAGAGATATAAAATATTTTTTTTTTCTATAAAACAAAAAAGATAACGAAAGATTTACGCAGAAGGAGATCAACGGTGAATCGCTTTCATTGAAAAATTCTCATAGAATGTAATTAATTATGGATTAAGAAAACGGAGCTTCGTTAATATCAAAGAAAAGTGCTTTTATTCCTTTTGGTTGAATGAAAATTAAAACTGATATTTGCACCTTGCGCTAATGGAATTTTTAATAATATCGATAATTATTAGATGCAGTCTTCGGGTTTCCACCATATCTTGGCTTTATAATTACGTTTATATAGTTATCAAGTCGTGCGCTATATTAATCGAATAACTTTTGTAACTTATACGTTGACTCGAAATTATGTCAATTTATGCTCAAAGAGTGAGTGAAAGGGAATTTTTTTAATTAGCCGCGATCCTATCTAAAATATTTTATTCGCATTTCAGCTTTTGGCAAAGAAAAAAAAAAAAAAAAAAGAAAAAAGAAAAGAAAAGAATTAGTAAGAGCCGAACATTAAACGAGAAAAGAAAAAATATTTGGGCAACGTGTGTATGTATCTATCGTATAAATCGAGCATCCTATAAAGAAAATAATCGAAGAAAACACGGATTCGATTGATAACATTTTCATTAGTTTTCTTTTTATTTATATTTTTCTCTCTTTTTCTATATCTATTATAGGAAGAAGAATAACGGGATTAAATTAACCACGCTCAAAGTACTCTTATTACTTACTACGGTAGTTCTTTCGTGAAAAAAAAAAAAAAGAAACCGTAATCTTATAATAAAGTAAATAAGAGTAAATTATCCTCACCAAGATAACTTTTCTTTTTCTTTTCCATTCGAGTCGTTTTCTTATAGTGTCATTTGATGCCCTTTACTGCCTTAATGAGTTTCGTATTTGGACCTTATATTTATATATACAGTAAGTAAGAATTTCGAGCTACCTGATGGTAAGAAAATTACGTGATCGCGTTAGTAAAAGGAAGGAAATGAAAAAAGGAAATCGCAGCGGTAAAGCGATACTTTTCACGGGTATTTTAACGAAAAGTTGAGCATCAATGGATAAGCGCAGTTTGAATGACGTGCATATTAAAATGGGTCAATTAATTGAACATTCATTGATCGCTAAACAGGCACGCCATGTTCCTAGCATTTGCGGTGTGGATTTACGCGCTATCCTTGTCGTTACCACCACTTTTCGGTTGGGGTAGTTACGGTCCAGAGGCCGGAAACGTATCCTGTAGCGTGTCCTGGGAAGTTCACGATTCAGCAACTAATAGCGACAGCTACATAGGATTCCTATTTATTCTCGGACTCGTTCTACCAGTTGTCGTTATAGTCACAAGTTATTTTGCAATCGTGATAACTACCATAAGAGTGAAGAGGAAAGCCGGTAAGAAAGATTATACGAGAGATTTGTCAGCCTTTATATTTCGTTTTTTTTTTTTTTTCCGTACCTGTGCAGGTACCAGAGGGAGACGCGAGGCCAAAGTAACAAAAATGGTAGCACTAATGATAAGCACTTTTCTCATCGCTTGGTCACCTTACGCCGCCCTTGCTCTTGCGGCTCAATACTTTAATGTAAGTGTTCAACGAATAATAAGATCAATATGAGAAAGCGAAAAAGAAAAAAGACAAATGTATCAAAAACATTTTTAAAGTAGAAATATACGGTTTTTTTTTTTTTTTTTTAGGTGAAACCGTCACCCTCGGTAGCCGTATTACCAGCTCTCCTGGCTAAATCCTCCATTTGTTACAATCCCATCATTTACGCTGGATTAAACGCTCAGTTCCCGCGGTCTTTGAAAAAGATTCTTGGTATTCGTGATATTGAAACTGGCACGAACGGGAGTCAACAGACTGCTTTGACTACGATCAACAAACAGTAGCAGAAGCACTGAAACCAACCAATCGGAAATTTGAGTTCTTTTCCTTGGTTTCGATTAACTATCACGCATGAATACTGCAACTTGGATAAGATTTATCTTATTTTATCGAAAGTTAGTATATACGTATATATTACATGTTCCCTTATATACCACTGTATGTGTCTATATATGCGTTTTTGGGATAACAATTTTATTATTTGCACCTTTTTCGTTCTGATGTCTGATGTCTTTCTTTCTCTCCTCTCTCTCTCTCTCTCTCTCTTTCTCTCGTTCTGCCACATTTTTAATATATTTTCCTTTGTATTTTACAATGAAAAATTACGAATCCTCAGCGATCGAAAAAGAAAAGGAAAATTTCAAACAATTGTAGATGTAACTGTGAGCTTTAAAATGAGCAAATAGCAGGCGTTAACTGTTTCTCACTGTCATGCTATATATCTGCTATATAAATAGAAGAGACGCGTAAAAAGGATCAACCGCGAAGAAGCGGTTCGTCCGTAAGCTATTAGATTTCTCAGTCATCGATAATGAAGTAGATTTATGTTTGAGGATAAGTTCAAAGGAAAAAATCCCCTCGATGATATTCAATCGTTGTCGGTCGACCGTTCAATGATTTTCGTATAGAAAATCAATCGTATCAATTTTTAATCATTTTACGATTTTTTAAAGATTTGTTATTTGAAGTTAAGAATTGCGCAGTAGAGAGAAGAGAATCACGAAATCAATTTCACCGTCGTGCTATTTTCATTTCATTGCGATAATTCCCCGCTATTTTTCCCCTCTTCCTCGACCATCCTGGAGCCGTACGAAATCGACAATCGTAAGTCGAAACACGCGCCTACGGAGGAGAGTGAAATCATGAGAACATTTAACGATCCCCGATCATTGTTCTCGTTTTTAAAAGGTCGCTTCTCGTTTTTAAATCTTTAAAAGAAATATCCACAAAATCCGCTCTTAATTTATTCCGAAAGAATTCTTTGAAAATGATTTGAGAAAGGGAAAGATCGAAACTAGAATAAAAATTTGTTCATTTTTTCACTTCCTCCGATCGACACGCGTCGAGTATCGACGAGTTTCTCTATACAATTGGCACGATCGGTCCGAGTCGTGATCGCAATTTTTTATCGTACAAAACAACAATAACAACAACAATAACGACGACGAAGACGAACTAACGCACGCTTTAAGGTGTCGTCGTTGGCTATATCGAAAGGAAGCAAAATGACGAGTATCGTTACCATAATGAATTTCGTCTCGTTTAAAGATGTATAAGAGTGAAGAGCAAGGAATGAAAAAAGACGATAAGAGTAAATGGTTCAAGGCTAGTCACTTTCTCGTGACTCGTCAAAACTCTAAATGTTAAAAAGATGAAGGAACCCGAAAACGGATATCACCTAAATACCGATTGCCGTCCGCGATCTTCAACTTCTCAGAGAAAGCAAAACCCGTTTACTTACATGATCCAGTTCAATGGACGTTCGAACGTATCGGCGAATTTTAAAATAAGAACGAATGAAAATATTTTAAAGGTAAATTATATTTTACCTTTAGAAATTATCAATTTATCTATCTAAACAAGAATCACAAGAACAATCATCAAAGATGCGTAGGCAAAAAAATTGTATGAAAAGGAAATTTCACGCAAATTGAATAATTAACTTTCTCCTTCTCTGAAGGGAGGAAGGAAGAAACTTGGATGAATCGGAATATATGATTTTGTAATAGGTGAAGTTTACAGAGATAGAGAGTATTAACCTTTCCCATGGAGAAATCACGTGTTTAAACTAAACGTTGTAGTAGAAGAGCGGGAAAACGCATCTAAACGTATGGCTAGTTTCTCGCATAACCATGACATTTGAAAGTTAAAGATTCTTTAAAGAACCGGTTAGGCACTGTTCAATCTCGTGAGATCTCTAGTCAACATTCTCATTATATAGAGCCCTTCCTCTTACATAATATCATTTCTTTAGATCGATATAATCGATCGCTTGGATAAACAATACGCATACTCATAATCCATCGATCGTACACGTATGAGATAAGTCGAATGAAAATTTCAAGAAAAGTGTTGGAAAAAAGAAAAAAGCAAATAAAGAAAGAAGAACGATCGTTTCCTCGTTAACGCGGAAAGGAAAAGAAAAGAGAAAAAAGATGTCGAGATAAAACCATTTATAGGATAATACAAAAGAAATGGACAATTTCGATCGCGTTACGATCGAGAAATCGTACTCGAGAAAACCGATACATTGAGAGAGCTCTCTCGTTAAAAAGTTTCACAAAACTCTTGGGGAAAAATGCTTGCCTTGTCTTTCGAGCGTTAAAGAATACGATATGATAAAAGAAGGAAGTAACGGAAGTGAAAGAAGAAAAGATGGTAAATTTATAATAAATACGAACGAGTCGCAATAAGAGAAAGATAAAATTACTTTCACGATGATAATAATAAGCGATACACGCGATGTAATATTCGCGTGAGTTAGTTTCGTCTTTCGAAGTTTATCTTGCACGGATTCATCGATCCGTACCAATGTGTTTGCCACAAATTCTAATTATAATCTTTCCTTTTACTACCCACGCGATTTCAACGGTAGAAGCGACGATCTTTCAATGCGATTTCCACTGTCTGCTGCATCTGCACTTCTCTAAGAAAATGGTAATAACGCTATTTACAATCTAAGCTCTATCGTTTTGCGTCTCTCACAGACACACACTTACACGTACATATGTACAGGCACTTTTTCTTTCTCCATTTACTTTTTAATCTCTCTCTCTCTCTCTCTCTCTCTCTCTCTCTCTCTCTCTTTGTCTGTCATAGAAAGGTACACGAACCGAGTAGAAAGTCGACGACGGGGATAAAACCCTCGTTCGCCTAAAACGATTCCTCGACATTGTTTCGTCGACACAGTATCGACGTTCCAAGAACACTCTCTTTATTATTCCGACAGGTGAAAATCGTGATTAGAAGTCTAATCACCGAGCGGCCGCGACATTGTAAAATCGCTACGTAAAAAAGAAATAATTCATTATCTAGGATGAAATTATTCATATTCTTGAAAAGATAGATAAATCGATCTTGGATTTCGATTGTACGTCTTCGCGGACTTGATCTAATCCGATCGTCGATTAAGTCTCATATATTAGGTAGAATCAAATCGGCTTATCCCGACTAGAAGATACAAGGACCTATCGTTCGATAATAGTGGCCTTTCGATGCGATTGAAAACATCTCTTAGGAAGGATTCAATCGTGCAAGAAATAACGGTACGACGCGATCGAAGCCAGTGAAATCTGTCCTAATTCTTTCATGCGGCCATTTCGCTTTTTTCCTTCCTTCCGACTTATCTAACAACTCGCTCATTGTTATCTCTCATTTGACTTTATTCTTGAATTTCTTCGAGCAAAGAAAGATTTACTATTATTTTCTATATGTACTTAACAATGGGTAACTTTTCTAGAATGCTTTAATCGTTTCATTCGTTTGCTCCAATCAAAAGGGGAGAACGAATAGAGACACAAATTTTTCTTTCCAATGGGAAAATTAAAAACAAAAAAAAAAGAAAAAAAAAAGAAGAAAAAGGTCCATTCGATTAAATCGGACTCGAGATTTGAGTTGAGTTTCATTCGATTGGCTTTCCTCTTTGCTCCGATACCTTTCTCTCTCTCTCTCTCTCTCTTTCTTTCTTTTATATTTTCTTTCTTTTTTTCTTCTCTCTAAGCAAATCTTTCGGGCGAACCGTTACGAATCTAAACCACAATTCGTAGACAAAACATCGTCTTCGAAACGAGATTGCGAATAAGGCATAGTAATCTTGGGTGGGAGACAAAACGCTCTCTCTCTCTCTCTCTTTCTTTCCCTCTTTGAGCTCAGCTGATCATTAAACCACCGTTGGTCAGTCAAACTTTCACGCTCCGCGATATTCGAACGTCTTCGGCTGGTCGCTCGTTCGCTTGGGCTAATTTCTCGAGCCACGTTCGTTCGTGAAATCGATGCAAACAGGGCTTCATGAAATAGGGACGTACAAAAATTTCCGCGAAAGAACGAGTTGAAACGTGAATCACATTCTAAAGTATAAAAAAGTGTTAGAACGAATTCAGAGAGAGAGAGAGAGAGAGAGAGAGAGAGAGAGAGAGAGAGAGATTAATGGCAAGAATCGAAAAATTTTGCATAAAATTTCTCGTTGTGGAGGAAATTAGTGACAAAAAATTTCTAAGAAAAGCATGAAAAGAGATTATCAGATAAAAACTTATATTCTCTTGGATCATCGTATTGTCACGGTGAACAAGAAGAATCGTACCTGCACTTGAGATGAGAAGCGTTATTAGTGAAAGTCAGCGTGAGTAAAGAATACGGGACATCGTCAAGCTTCGTAGCTTAACGTTCGCCGATCAGAGAGGAAGAAGGAAACGAGAAAGGCATAAAATTTTTATGTTTATTCCAATGATCGATCGATCGAGAGCCTATCAATAAAAAAAATTTCTCTCTCTCTCTCTCTCTCTCTTTCTCTCTTTTTCTATTTCTTTATCTCTCTTGCGAAGAGGCAATAACGAGATGAAGGAAGAAACAAAGTCCGGATATAGAACGTGAATGAACGAAGAACACGGTAAGTTCCTATACGATCTCTTTGAACTCGGACAGAAGAATCTTATTTCGCTTGACCGATCTCTCGTTCGGTGAAAGGAGGGAAGGAAGGAAGGAAGGAAGGAAGGAAAGAAGGAAGAGGCTGAACGAAAAAGGAAAGAAGGAAAAAAAACAAAGAGAAAGAGAAAAAAGAAGAAACAGTTTCTTCCTCTATGATATATCATTGACATTGACATTCAAATATCCTCTAACTCTCGATGTCTTATATTCGTCTATACGAAAAAGATCAGAGATGGAAACGTCGCGAACAAAGAGCAAGGCTAGATGAAAGAAGAAAATAACATTAGTTCCGGCATCGATTCCTTTTATCGGTATATCCTTTTACCGATTCACCTTCAATGGTTTTCACAAGCAAATATTAAAATAACAAGAGCAGGTCTTTGAGATCGTTTTAGAGACGGTTCTAGAGCAGACTATGCCGAATATTTCGAATAAGAAGAAGACGAGTTAGAAGATCCAACGGAGTTTCTCTTGCGAGATGAAGGTAGAATCGACTCGAGAGTAAAACATAAACGATCCTATAATTGGTTACGAAATTTTCTAGTGTTTTCAAAGTGACAACGATTGACGGTACGTTGGAGTACGTCTAAGACGATGTAGAGATATAATTTAAAAAAAAAAAATACGCACGTGATAAGTCAAAAAAATCAAAGATGAGAACGATTCTTACGATTTTAACGCTATTTTGCGTTATTCGATTCGCCAAGAGTTACAACGTTTTACTAGCTACAATGGGTGGTACAAAATCGCATACGATACCATTCGTTGCTCTTGGTAACGCTTTAAAATCGCGAGGTCACAATGTGACCTTGGCAAGCGCGTTCTCGGGTATAGGAATTAACAATGGTCTTAATGAATTAGTCCCAACGATTCTCGAATCTTACGTATACAATTATACTTCGGAGTGGGACTTGGTAGGTGCCAGATTCCGCGATGAACTACCACTTTCGCCGTGGAACGCAATGAGATACGGTTGGGAAGCGTGCGAGGCTTTGTTACAGGACGACGTCTCGGTCACTGCTCTCAGAAAACCGGATGGAAGTCAGTGTGAACGATGGAACGTTGCTGTGGTCGACGGTGCTTATCCGGAATGTCTCCTGGCTATCTTACACGAGGAAAACGTACCTACGATCATGTTAAATACGGTATATACTTATCGATTTCTATTAAAATATTCGACTTACCTAACTGGTTGAATAACAATTATCGAGTCTTTGCGTTTCTCTGAATAGGTTGCTCTGTACAGTGGTTCGATGACCCGCCAAGGAAATCCGTCTCCTTGGTCGGTGACACCATATTTTGGGAAAGCCTTAACGCAAGACATGAATTTTCTACAAAGAGTAATCAACGTCGCATGCCTGATCACTTTAGAAATCATGTATTGGATCATGATTACTGTTTATCTGCAGCCCACGCTTCGAAAGTACTTAGGTAACTTTCTAATCGTTTGACGACAGATTTTGACGTCTTGCTCGACGATGAGAAATATGATTGAAGGAAATAAAAAGAAAAAAGAAAAATTATAACGATATTTTTTACAGGAGAGCAAATACCCGATGTAAGATATCTGACCTCGGAAATACCGTTGACTCTACAAAATAGCCATTACAGCGTAGCCGATTCCATGCCGTATTTGGCGAACGTGGTAAATGTGGCGTGTCTGCATTGCAGACCAGCAATGCAACTCAGTCCGGATTTAGATTTGTTTTTACGTCGAGGTAAAGTCTTTTATTTGCCATTTAATCTTTCTATATATAAATATGTCTCTCTATATATACACACACACGCACACACAGACAGACACATATACGTAAGACTTTTAACGACAGCTAAAACATGTAATGATTTTGCGTAACGATCGTTCAGAGATATGCAGACACGAGTTTTTGAGAAGAAATATCGATGATATCTGCAGCATCATAAATTCTAAATCCCGTAGTATGTCATTGTAAATTATTCTTCGTCGAAACATTAATTGAAATATTAACCGATACAAGAACGTATTAAAGATGAATAATACGATCCAATATATTCGAGTTAAAAGGAAATTAATAACGTTAAGTTAATGAATATTTATGGTCAAAAGTCGTAAACTTTAGAAGCAAATGAAAAAAATTCTTCATACGTTCTTAACCATTGATTAGAATTTGTCGTAATATTTAAACGCGAATGAAAAATCAAAGTTTCCTTTTTTATTATTATCATCATCGGCGAGATTTTGTCACGAGATATTACTCTGGTGCACTTGCAGTCAATAACCTGTCAAGTATATGCATACATTTTACATAACGACATATTTTCTTATTGCACAAGTCTAAAACATTTGCATATCTCTCGAATAAGAAACATTTTTATATTTTCGTTTATACGTCAATTAATATATCCATTTGCGAAATACTATTATTTCGATAATTATCTCGATAAAATGTAATAAACAGGTTGAAACTTTTTTATCGGATAGGTTTCATCTTCGTCTCGATGGGTTCATCCGTGAGAGCTTCCGGAATGCCTACAGCCTTGCGTGAAATTTTTGTAGCGGTCTTCGCTACGTTACCTTACAACGTCATATGGAAATGGGAAGGAGGAAAAATAAAAGATCTTCCGGTGAACGTAAAAACGGCAGGTTGGTGGCCTCAACAAGAACTTCTTGGACATTCGAAACTTCGAGCTTTCGTTTCGCACGGTGGTCTTTTGTCTTTGCACGAAGCAGCTTTTCACGGCTCACCGACTTTGGTACTACCTGTTTTCTGTGATCACGATGGAAACGCGGCTCAAGCCGGTAAGCTTAATTTAAAATAAACATCGAAACAACTCGTGAAATTAATTAATTGTCTTCCCAACTTTATCCGATTTTTCGACGAGCGATACATTTTCTTGAATGAAATACAAATAATTGAAAATATTATTCCAATGCATTCTCTGTTATCTACTCTATGGTCCGAGTTGCGTTGAACGCACTACTAAGCGCGAATTGAAAGCAGAGTTTCGTCAGAGATTACGTCAAGTAGGACGAGCGATATATACAGAGAGAGAGAGAGAGAGAGAGAGAGAGGGAGACAGAAAAACGGGGTATGCGACTTTGAGTTTAGAAATACATAAATCATACGTCGTTCTGTCCCAGAATTATGGATTACGTAAAGAAATGTACACGCAACATTCTTAGAGAACAAAAAGCGCCATTAAGTTAGACTATATTAAATACATGAGGAAAAACATTCCGATTTAAGTCCACTTGCTATTTTTTCTCTTTTTATTCTTTTTCATTTTTTTAATTTAATTTGCAGAAAAATTAGGCTACGCTTTAGTGATGGATTTGGCCAAATTATCGATAGGAAGCCTTCGCGAGGGAATCCTTAAAGTTGGAGCACTGCGAAACAATACATACAGGAAAGCCGCGAAAAAACAAAGCATTTTATTACGAGATCTTCCGATAGGTCCCCAAGAACTTGCCACGTGGTGGGTTGAACACGTTGCGAGATACGGCGAAGCCGATCACCTCAAGAGTACGACGAGGTAATTTCAAAAAATATTTACCATAATGTTTACGGACTAGCAAGTAGAAAGTATTTGCGGATAGTTGGATGCGGAATAAAAATGACAGTAGCGAAGGTTAATCGTCGCAAAAGACGATACTTAAACATTTTCGATGATTAATGGTTTTTGGTCTTTTTCATTTTCAGACGCATGGGCGTAATACGTTATTATTCTTTGGACGTTGGCGCGTTTTACGCGATAATCATCATGGCGCTGATCTACGGATTAAAACGTTTGTGCTGGAGACCAATAACAAAGCAGAGAATTTTCAAAAAAAAGATCGACTGATTTCGCACAATAGACCTTTACGTAAATCCATCTTTTATGCTTCAAGTACCTTTAATTATCTTCTTAGATTTATACTTAGATTTTTGTAATCGTATTTAAAAAAAAAAAAGATAAGAAAGAACGAAGGAGTAGGAACGAATAAAGTACGTTCGATCGTCGCTTGTTTCTTCTTTTCCTATTCTAGAATATTTCAGGTATAATAAAGTCTGATAAAATGAAAATGCTAAGCTGATCAGCGTAAACGGGATGTTTACAATGGACGAACTTGATATAATGGTCGGTAAAGAAGATATTATTTTCAGTAAGGGAGTAGAACAGCTATCGGTAAATTCAACGTCGAGTCAATTGCGCGGGCCCTGGATAATTTGCGATCGTTTATTATATCTCCAATATTAAAAAAGCCTCGAGGTAAATTTATGCGCGTACGAATTTAGTTTTATTAAATAATCATGAATGACGATGTCATGTGAATAAGTTAAAGCAAATTACGTGAAAATTACAACTAGGATTAACGGTACATATGTAGAAACGAAGTTGTCTAAACAAAAAGCCGAAAGACGTTCAAACTTAACCTCGAGGTCTCATCGCTAAGCTAATACAAAATTAACCGTAAAATAGAGGCTTCGTCGAGAGATGCAATAGAAAATAACGTAGCACGTACATGGTCGCTTATCGAGAACCTTAAGGCGATTTCTAACGCTTTGACATTATATACGAAGTAAGGAGAAAGATGCGTTTGTATGGTGGTAGGGAGGAAAAGAAGAATGGTAGTTGGCTAAGAGGATAGAAAGGCGAGGTAAGGAAAAAACTTGTTACCGGACGCAGTATCGTATATACTCTGGGTGCTATCTCTCGTACGACAATAAAATGGTTCGTCAAAATAAAAGAAATTTATCGAATAGAATTTATATAATCGTCTTTCGGCTATTACGTAAAATCAACGATTACCTTTTTTAGAAATTCGACGTTTCAAAAATCGATTCTAACGAGAGAATAGGTGTAACGATCGAAATGTAAACGAAAGGATAGGGTGACACGATGACACTGCTACGGTATTAAATTAGTTAAGAGCTACGTACGAGCGGTGGCGTGTACGTCGGATTCCTATGAAAAGAAAAAAAGAAAGAGAGAGAAAGAGAGAGAGAGAGGGAGAGAGAGAGTGTGTGAGACAGAGAGAAAGAAAGAGAGAGCGACGAGAGCTCTCGGTGAACGTTTTCGGTCGAACGTATCGCAAATTTCTTGTCTTCGAAAGAATCGTTTACTTAATCACTTGACGTTTATAAATCGTTGTCGTGTAAAAAAACAAAGAAAGAAAGAAAAGGATAGGCAAATAGATATTTGCATATATACACATACACACACACACATACGTAGAGAGAAAGAGTGGGATTCTAAGTACGTGTATGCATACGTGCATGTATAAGTCGCGTCGGTCTTTTGGCCGCGCTGCCTCCGACAATCATGTTCGACGATCAGTACCAGCTGACTCGTTGGTCGGCACGGAACATTTCGCGAGGATGTGTCGCATGTTCGAACAATTCCGACGCCAATAATAGTAATAATTCGTACAACGATAAAGAGGAAGAACATTGCGAGGAAGAAAAGGAAAAGGAAGACAAAGAAAAATTAGAAGAAGGAAGAAAAAGTGGTTTTATACTATTATAGTCCTATATACGGCACTTCCTTGCGTCGCCACCGACGTCGCTTCCTCCTCCTTCTCCTTGGATACTTTGCTAGTCGCGCGCGAGTGCGCGCGCGCACAACCGACCGAACCTAACTCCCTTCCCATTCTCTGACACTTTTTTCCAATCGCGTACAGTGCCAGACGAGAACTATATACGACGTTCGTAATAGAGATATAAATATATAAATCGACGGAAGTTTTTTTTTTACTTTTTTGTTAGTCCGATGATCCTCGACGATATCGTGATTTTTAGTGTTTGCTTCGTCATATTTTCTGTTTCCCTCTCTCTTACACTCTCTCCCTCCCTCCCTCCCTCTCACTCTCCATGTGCGTACAAGTGTGTATTTCAATCTTTTTATCCCTATAATGTATACTTACCTCTCGTATCGTTCTCTTTGTACGACGAGACAACGAACGAACGAGCGAACGAGCGAGAAAGAAAGAGAGAGAGAAAGAATTTGTCTGTGAGTACGTGATATGCGCTGGTACACACATACGGATATACACATAGAACCAACTCATTCTCTGATTCGTGCTGTGCTTCGACGCACGACAACGCATTCCCTTCTCAACCACGTGGGTTTCACAATGCTCCCGCTCGATGCGAACGTTGCGACAAAGAAGACTGGAAATTCATCCTCCAAAGGAGACAATATAGACGCATCCTCGTGTCCTAATGTTTTCAACGACAACAACGACAACGACGACGACGACGACGACGATGACGACGACGACGACGACGGCGACGACGAAGGGAATAATGTTCGAGCTAGAGCAGCATAGACTGACGAAGATGATGATAAGTAAATCGATAATTAATTTGGACAATTTTTAATAATTAAAAAAAGAGAAAGAGAGAGAGAGTGGAAAGTACGATGTGGTAAAAAGACACGTGGTAAAAAAGACGCTTTCTCCCTCTCTTTCTCTCTCTCTCTCTCTCTCTTTCTCTCTCTCTCTCTCTCTTTCTCTCTCTCTCTCTCTCTGTTTCTGACTGTCTGTTGAATTTTGCGTCATAAGAACAGCAAGGCAGTGCGCGTTAGAACGTCGCCGTTCGTACGCGATCGATCGTTTTCTCTTATACGAGGGTACGTACCTAATACTACGTTGTAGACGACGACGACGACGACGACGACTACGTTCAAGCAGGAAAAGATTACTATATAAATGTAAGTAGTTATTTACTTGCCATGCGATATTATAAAGACATATTTTATAACGTCGCTACGTTGGATATTTCGTCGGGGTTAGGGGAGGGGGAAAGAAAAAAGAAAAAAAAAAAAGAAAAACTTTTGTAACGAATTTATGAATTCTCGTACTTATCTTGCTTGCGAATAATAAATATTACCGCGAATTACATGTATATTAATTTATTCGTAAAAGGTAGATAGGAATGAAGAGAGAAAGAGAAATATATATATATATATATATATTAGTAGGCAGGACTATAAGGAGGAGGTGACGGCAACGACGATGGCGGCATTTGGAACGTATTCTGAGAAACCTAGCGAAGGTATACGGCATTTAGATCACAGTATGGCATTTCTATAAACAAGCTGCCGTTGCCGTGGCCGTCACCGCCATCGTACGTTTACGCGCGTTGTCCACCGAGTGCGCTTTTACCCTCTGGCTCTCTCTCTCTCTCTCTCTCTCTCTCTCTCTCTCTCTCTCTCTCTCTCTCTCTCGCGCTCTACGCGTGACGTAATCCATTCAAGCTTACTACGCAATACGAAACGTGCCGTTCGTTTCCCCCTCCCAATTCCCAAACACCGCCCCTTCTCTTTTGACTCTTCCTATCTTTTTTCGACTTTCCTATCATTGCTTTCTTCGTCTTCCTTCCTCCCTTCCTCCCTCTCTCTCTTTCGCTCTCTTTAAATCTCCGAATTATAGCGTTTGTATTTTTTGTACATTTCTTTCTTTCTCTTTCTTTCTATACTATACTATGCTATACTATGCTATGCTATGCTATACTATACTGTACTTACTATACTTACTATACTATACTAGTTTATTTTATTCTATTTGTTACAACACGCAACTCCGTAAGATTCTAGAAGAGAGCTTTGAGTTTCCATCTATAAAGAACTTTGGCTTCTCTCTCTCTCTCTCTCTCTCTCTCTTGTTGCTCCTCGGCACTCTCAACACTTCCCCTTCCTTCTTTTTATCCTTCCTTCCTTCGTTCCTTCCTACCTTCCTTACTTACTTTCCTCCTTTGGTGGTCGTCTTATACGCATCGTTAGAAATATGAATTGGCGAGTGGCCGGAACGCTGGCTCGTGTTTTCAACTTGGGTAACGTGCGCTTCTTGTCTATTCATTTTTTCTCCCCCTCTCCCTCCCTCCCCGCTCTCTCTTTTACTACATATATACACGTCGACTGTAAAAGTTTCAACAAATACTGGTTACGCGTTCATTCCCCTTCCGCTAACTCTCTCTCTTTCTGTGTATCATTCTATCCATCTTATCGATAATACAGACGTTCGCATTGTAAATGAGAAAGATTTTTTTAAAAGGAAATAAAAAAGAGGCAATTAAAGCTGATGGATTTGTATGATAGGCGCATCATTTCCTTTAATTTTATTAAGTTATCTCTTTCTATCTATATCGCACACGTGTCCCGTAATGCATAAAAATGTGTCTTGGACACATTTATATTTATAGGTATTTCTCGCGTGCACGTTTATTTCGCAGGTTTTTTCCTCGTTTGGAACGCAATTATGCGGATATCTTGAGGCAACGAGAACGAGTTAAGGTACGCGCGCGAGATCGTATAACTCTTTCTCTCTCCCTCCCTCCCTCCCTCCCCCCCTCTCTCTCTCTCTCCTCCCCTCCCGTCTATCTTTTTCTGTCTTCTCGAAATAACTTGCATTCCATCGCGAAGTGTACGCGCGACAACCTGTTCGAAGGTGGAACTAAGTAAATAAACGTGTGATCTAACTTTCTCTCTCATTTTCTCTCGTTCTCTCTTTTATGTGTATATATATATATATATATGTATATGTATATGTATTTCTGCATATATGTACATATGCACATTATTCATCTATATTTTTTCTCCCCTCGAGAATTTGACCTTCGACGAAGTGCTCCCTTTTTACGGCGCGTACTTCCCCCTTTTCTCTTTATTTCTACGTGATACCAACTTGAAGCAAGACTTATTCATCGTACGAGCACGCGATCTAATCCTTCTTTTTTCTCTCGTTTGAAAAGAAAGCGAATGAAAGAGAAAATTTACTCGATAAGTAGCCAACAGTTACATAAATCGTGTAACTTCTTGTGTTCCTTTCGTTCTGATCGATGGAAACACTATTATACAGACGATCACGTTATTCGTTTCTCTTTTTTCTAACATGCTTTTATACAAGTACGTATGTATGGAAGATAAGTTTATGTCTGATCGAAATCCAACGGGGAGATATCTTTTGATGTAACCTTTGAACTCGTTAACAAAAAGAATCGCTAACAACTATTAAGTACTTATATACATTGCGAAAGCATTTTTCCAATCTTCCGGAAGATCGTTATCGTCGTCGTCGTCGACGTCACTCTTAAATGTTCATTTTGTTCGTGCTAGTTTATAGATATACATATGTATGTATTTGTTTTGTTCCGCGTATTGATATCCGACGCGTAATACGTTTATCTCATTGACAAGGTTTTCGGTGAAAGAAAAATATGTGATCTTTCATTAACACATTCGCTGCGTCACCAAAAACAGATATATCTACCGTTTCGTTAGATATTTATTTATTTATTTATCATTTTTTTTTTTTTCCATTCATGTGGGGTAATGTTAAATGGCGTGTCACATGTACCGTAGTCAATGTAAACGATTTTGCCATTTGGCATCAATCCGCGGCATATGTAATTACGCATAACCTTCGTTCTCTCTTTCTCTCTCTCTCTCTCTCTCTCTCTCTTTTCCTTTGGTACATATTTTGATGTGTTGGGCGAACACACGAAATAGTAGTAGTTTTCGTTCTTAAAAGTTATGTGGGACATCGGTTGTTATCGATGCGTCATCCGTATCGCCAAAGCCTTCAGCCAAAAATCTCAACGTTGATCGTTTACGATTGTCGCGTCAGAATCTATCTATTTTTCTATCCATCCATCCATCTCATCTACCCGTCCGTCGGTCCTTCCATCCGCCCATCCTATCATCTACATACCTATTATACTTCGACGTGGTTTTATTTTTTTCCTTAAAAGAAAATATATTCTGCCTTTCCGAGTGAGTAAACGTTTCGTTTCTTTCTCATTAACCACAATCCGTCTTGGTTATTAGTCGGCTCTGTTCTTTGCGATGGACGAATGAAGGAAGGATGCCATTGTAAAATGGGCAATATAACCTGAGTGATGTTCAAAGAGGATATTGCGTGTGGTTATTTGCGAACCGGTTGAATCTCTCTCTTTCTCTTTTTCTTTTTCTTCTTTCCTCTTGGCAGTGTTTCTTATTTTGCTTTATGTTCCTGCTAGTTTCACTTGGCGAGGTCTGTAGGTGGTCAAAAAGTACTTTCGTAAAATGCCTGGGAGAAAATGTAATTAGCGATTAAGTGATATTACAACACCGTTAGTTAGATTATTGAAATAATATTCTTCGTTGGCAAGTGTTGAGAGAGAGAGAGTGACTGATTCTAGAAAGCAAGAAAGAAATAGATAGATAGAGAGAGAGAGAGAGAGAGAGAGAGAGAGAGAGAGAGAGGAGATTTTGTTGTCGCCGAGAGCGAGTTGTTTCCAATGAGTCGATCGAATGTGAATCGATCGTTGATCGTTTACTCACCGTTCAGGTCGCCGGCCTTTAAACATTAATTTTAAATGCAAATTAGTGAATGTGCGCGTGTGTGCGCGTGTGCAAACGATAGATAAAGAAGAAAAAGAAAGAGAATCGATATAGTACCGTAAGAAGTTCGCATAAAAAGTCCGACAGCATCCTTGATGAAGTTTAAAGACGATGAAACTAGTCCCGCGATCGATGGTGACCTCCCAAGTGACGTCACCTAGTCAAATTTTCTCACGCAAATACGACGTAATTCCAATGATTAACGAGCGTAATTACGTCGATTTACAAGAATAATGATTCGAAATGTTCAGCGTATACGTCGTTTTAAAATTTAAATACACGGTATAATTTGCCGTATCGATAGTTTCTTTTTAAAGAGACCAATCGAGACTGCGCCATTTTTAAATCCCTTTATGTAGGCGTATTATAATATCGACTCGTTTGGAAAGTTTGATAATTCCTCTAGATAATTTAAATGCTATTTATGTAATTTGATTATTATAACTTAGCTATCTTTACGACATAAGACATAGCGTGGCGGTCTTAGTTATCCACGAAAAAAGAGAGAGAAAGGGAGAGAGAGCGCGGAAAAATAAAAATCTGACGTAACCATCACTTTAACGAGGCTACGTGCAGATGTATATCCGTTGTTTACGCGGAAAACTTTGCTCATTGTCGTCATAGTCGACGTCGACGTCGTCGTCGTCGTCGTCGTCGTCGTCGTCGTCGTCGTCGTCGTCGTCGTCGTCGACGCGTTAGAATGATGTTCTCTTCTCCCTCTCCCTTTTCATCTTCTACTCTCGCTTGTTAGAAAATCATGTGACGGTTTTGAAAAAAAGAAGAAGCAGAAAAAAAAAAAAGAAAATATTATTTGGAGGTTGTTCTGAATTTGAATGAATTTGATTTAAAACAATTCACAATCTCTTTTATTTTTCATCGAAATTTGTAAATGGACTAGAATGATATAATATTCGGATCACTGTCCGAGTTGGATTGGTTCGAAGGTAGAAGGAAAAAAAATAAACAAGATAATAAAAGAATGGTCGGATTGCGTAATGCGAGATAAGAGAAAGGGAGAGAAGGAGGAGAAGGAGAAGGAGGCTCTCCATTTGTGAATATACCACGTTAATACTCCGGTATATTCTCTCTCTCTGTTTTTCTCATTCTCTCCATGTCCGTCGTCTTCGTGTAAACACGGCCAGTAATATCGTGCTTTCGACATAGAAAAGAAGGAGAAGAGAAACCTACATCGATGAAAGAGAAACGGAGGAGATGGCGACGGCAGCGGTCGATATACATACACGTGTATAGAACGGGAATAAACTCGATTTAATCCGAATTGCCGGCAATTTGATCGATCGATCGATCGATCGATCATTTTTTCCTTTCCGCTCATTCAAAGAACGCGAAGTAAGTAAACTCAGCACGACGTATAATAATTACCAATGTCCATCGGATTATCTATTTACTATTATTGTTATTACAGTTACTACTGCCGTGGTCGTCCTCCTCATAATTTATCGGAGGCTATTCGAGTAAAATCTGTCTGTTTTATTGCCTCTTACTTGACGTACACGGTCGTTATTTTAAAATTACTTACTCCGTCAAGGTGATGGTTTTATGAAGATTTTTCGTAGTATTCGCCGATTCCGCGGCGTGACAGATGTATAATAAAACTTAAACAGCGCGTGACGCTAAAACTTCTCCGAGGCTTGTCCGTCTATCCATTTTCTCTGTTCCTTGCACCTATTTTATTTTAAGAACGAACGCGGCTTGCTGTTGTCGTTCTCGTTAACGACAGTCTCCTCGGCACTTCCCTTTCATCTTTCAAGTACGTACGCTTCGCAATATCAATCCTCTTAAACATTTCGACGAGAGAAAATCCAGCCTTCTCCTCGTCGTTCAAACTAATGTATTTTTGCGGCTCCCTTCGTGTCGTACCTTTCCTTACTCGAATTTTGCACGAGTATCGAATCATTTCGCTTCTTAACACGCTCGATCGATTAACAGTGAAAATTGACAAATATTTTCCTGTGATTTAATGAGATTCAACCTTTTTTGGTCGTTTTAACTATAAAAGGGACTCCATTCGCGCTCATAAAGAAAAGAAAAAGATAAGAAGAAAGAAAGAACGATAAAAGGTAGCTCGTGAAACGGCAGGACGTCTCATACGCCTTGCGGATGTTTGGGACCTTAAAGGGTCGTGCGTGGGCGAGGAAGATCAGAAGGCTTCTTGTGGATTCGAAAACAGCAATAGTGGTTTCCTAGAAATATTTTCTTACAGTTTTGCACACGTTCGTATCTTTGCGAAAAAAAGAGATATTCGAAAATAAAATACGTTTTTTTTTTCTTTTTCTTTTTCTTTTTCTTTTTCTTTTTCTTTTTCTTTTTTTTTAAACAACCTCAAAATATGTTAAATATCGTTACGATTTAACGCGTGATATCTTCGTAAAATATTACGTCTACGTATCAACAGGCTCGTATAAAAAGTATACGAGTATCTTTTACGAAAAATGGGGAACGAAAAAGGGAAAGAAAAAAAATGATAGTGTCGAAGATAAGCATAAAGCCGAGTGTGTTAGTCAAGAAGCGTATTTTCGTGCATTAGAAAGAGACCTCGAAAAAAGGGAAATATTTTTCCTTGGCTATTTGACAAGAAAATTGTCACGCTATGAGTTACGACGACGATGACGACGACATGTTTTACTTTGAAAATAAAACGTCTTTAATAAACCATTAGAGACGAATAAACCCAATTATATATTCTCGGGATAATTTGAATGAAATTTCAAATGAAAAATTAATGGGCTCGTTTCTTATTTCCGTTTCTTCCTTTCTCATTAAATAATCAGATAAGAAAGAGATAGATGAATAAATAGACAGATAAATAAAAAATGTACGATAGAGACCAAGTTAGAAACTTCGTATCTTTGATGTATAATACAATTTCGTTTTATAAATAAAACGAAAAGGGACAACGAACCCGATTAAAATTATCGCTCGAATCGATCTGCCTTCATCGCAAGGATCGACTACTATTTGGCATTGGATATTCGATACACGAACGGAGACATGACGATCACATTCCTTCTCGCATCGTCTTTCACATATAGTCGTTACATTTAAAAGGAAGGGAAGGGAAGGGTAGGGTAGGAAAAAGAAAAAAAAAGAAAAATAAGAAGCGAACTCGACACAAGTTAGCAACGAACAGTTGCGTCTGGATTGCTAATAACGCGGAACGTTTAATTATCTGCAAGGTGCCGTTGAGCAATCGTGCTGCGCCAACATTGTTACACGCAAATGTCTTGTTTCTTCTTCTTTTTTCCTCTCTCCCCCCTTTTTTGTCCTGTTTTCTTTTTTCTCTCTCTTCTTTCTTATTACTAGAATAAAAATATGTTCAAGCAGAGTCAGTGCCATTCTAAAATATTCGTTTGGTGATCGCGTAACCTAGGAAGCGTGTGACAAGATAAGTATATAGGTGTATGAGTTGACATTTTACAGTACGATAAAAATACGAAATGAATTATTAATAAATTATATGTTTACGTTTAATTACATATGTGGATGATACATACGTGCATGCAAATGTAAGAGAAAGAGAGAGAATCTCTTTTTTAGATTATCTATATTCTCCATATTTGCAAATTTTCACGAAAACCGAAACCGGAAGCGACGACGCGTTTAATGCGAAAAAAAACCTTCCTACGTATCATCGTAATTGACCTCGTGGTATTGACGGAGCGAGTAACGTTACGTGTGTAAGTCCATATACATATGCCACGTCGATCGATTAAATACGTTAATTCGCAAAGTTGATCAAATTCAAATGTAATTGTACGCGATATTTTTGCTTATATTTCTCTTTGAATATACAATATGTAATTTGTGCTATTATATACGTAAACGCACGTTTACAAAATACGCGATTATTTGGCCATATCAATGCGGTACCAATCTCATTTATCGCCCTATAAATTTTACAATTTTGATTTTGTTTTAGAATTTAAACTCAATTATGCTCATTGCTATCATTAAACTTTACCATTAAACTCTCGTCGCAGGTGAAAAAGATTTCTGTTCGTTCAATTCGTTTTTCAACAATAAAACAAGGAAATCAAACGAAAAAGCAAACATTTCGGTTGAATTCGTATTGCAGTATGAAACGTCACATCCGCTTTAAAAGCGTTCAATCGTTCGTGTATCGAGCGCATGCGAATCTCGCCTTGTAATATTCCCTTTTTTCTTTTTTCTTTTTTCTTTTTTTAATCGACGTTTCGCCCCACCTCTCTCTCTCTTTCTCTCTCTCGCTCGCTTTTTGTACAGAATATAAGAATCTTTTTCGCTTAAAAAAGGAAAGAAAAAAGAAATTTCGAGATTGTAGAAAATTGCTCGCGATATCAGGGATTATCCAATCTATATAAATATTCGATTTAATTCTCGGTCTATTCCCATATCAAATTCGCGTATCTTTACGTGCATTAGCGTAAAACGTAAAGAGACTTCGATTACTCGGAAGTCTTTTGAATAAATTTGGCGGAAGCTTCTATTGTTGCTCTCGTTGCATCGACTTTATCGCTGGATTACTCTCGGCTAAATCGTTAATTCGTACTTTTCGATATAAAATAGAGGGAATGAAAAGTCCATCGAAAAGAGCTCTTTCTATTTGGCTGCTCTTATGCATACATAATACGGAGTGTTACGTTGTTTCAGAACTAATGAATGCATTTCGACGAGTAACGTTGAGTTTGAGAAAATTTCATTTCTAGCGAATGAAATTTACGATTCATATTAATTAATATATTAATGATCGCGGAGAGAGAGAGAGAGAGAGAGAGAGAGAGAGAGAGAGAGAGAGAGAGAGAGAGAGAGAGAGAGAGAGAGAGAGAGAGAGAGAGAGAGAGAGAGAGAGAGAGAGAGAGAGAGAGAATCAATTCGGACTTTTAATGAGCCCGTACCTTCGATTGATGTAGTACAATATAATACGTGAGATTTTGCTTGTGGGCATGAACCTAAATCCATTATTTATCCGTCCGTTATCATTATCTATCGTCCGAGAAATAATGAATAGGTTCTTCCTCGTTTTTTTTTCGCTTGTGCCTACGCATTTAAGTTAAATAACGTTTAAGTTCACGATGATTTCACTTTCATATAGGAATATAGGATAAAGGAAGCAACGTGCGTGCTTCCCCTGTGGACTTTTACCCTCCAGCGAGATAACTGCTTCTCGTAAAAGATCGCGTTATAGAACTCGAACTTACGTTTTGATACCCATCTATTTCGAGTCCATTAATCATATATCGTAGATAATAGTAAATATGTCGATATCGTCAGTTTTTTCTTTTAAATTTAGAAAGCGATGGCGGCATTGTATTCGTTTCCATCGATCGGCAAAGCTCTAATAAAATCGGTTTTTCACATTTCCACGATTTATTTTTGAACATAAATTATCGGCACTTTGACATATCGATTAATTTGCATCTTAATTTTGGCCCATATCATAATTATCGGAGATCAACGAGATAATCTAAAAAAATCAGGATAAAGTCATTAGACACGAGCCGATCTAATCAATTCACGTGTAAGACGTATGTATCGGACCAGACTCAAGGTCTCTCCTGTTCAATCCAACTTATCTTATGTCAATGGATTTATATTTGTTACTTTCTATAATCTTATAATCCTTCAAACTCGTTCACGATCGATCGAAAAAGAAGCAATAGCTCCGAGAGTAATCGTGTTTAACGATTATTAAAAATAACATTCGCAGATTTCCATTAGTCAGTTTATACCTATTCATTATCAGTTATACCAGACACTGTTAGGATTTAACTGTCTTATATTTTCCACGTCTTGCTTAGCTTCGTATTACAAGGGACGCGTATATACGCCATCATTTTCTACGATGTTAAGCGTTACGAGGGACTCTTAGGAGGATCGCTGTCGTAAATTCAATCCACTTATCTTGGCTAAAAACATTAATTTCTTGAGTCACTTTTGTCACATTTTCTCAACAATAATATTTATTATCTTTGTTGTCATAATTATTATTAATTATTAATTATTAATTTACACGATGAACTTGATACTTGACACTTTGCAATTTGTGTGCCCTCTTACGCTGCGCTTATAAAAAATAATTCTATTTCAAATTGCATTTGAATAGTTCCATATATTTTTTTCTTCGTCGAAATTGACGAAAAATTTTATACACAGGCACATACGAAATACATTCTCGACCGTCCGGTTTTCATTCACATTCAACTTTCACCAAAGCTCATTTCAAGAGCAATTAACGATAGGTGCAATTATACCAGAAAATGATATATAATAAATTATGTCATAACACTCATGAAATATTGATATATGGATATTAAGCTAGTATATATTACGTTGTTCTGACTACCCTTGAGTTATTGAATAGTACATTCAAAAAATTATTTACAGGTTTTCAAGTGTGAAAATCTGTTCTTTTGCGAACGATAAAATTTAATATTTAAGATGAAAGGAAGTACATCAGTTTTCTTATTTTTCTTTTTTTTCTTCTTTTCAGACGAATAAATGGTTAGACAGGTATAATGGGGTCGAAGAAGTACTTCATCTTCAACAAGAAGCTTTTCTAAGTGCGTTCAAATACGATTAGAAATTGTGGAATATCGAAGAAATTGTTTCGGTGTTCGGAAAGGCGTCAAGAAGAGGGAGAGAAAGAGAGAGAGAGAGAGAGAGAGAGAGAGAAAGAGAGAGGGAGGGAGGGAGGGAGAGAAAGAGATACTCTAAATTCATAAAGGATTTTGAATGTTGCTGACGAGATCTCTGCGATCCTATTGGAATAGAGTTGCACCGGTAGAAGTCGATAGGCACCTTCCAGCGAGAGAACGATTAGTTGTCTGCGACGATAGAAGGAGAAAGAGAAAGAGAAGGAGGAGGAAGAGGAGGACGTTTGAGAGGAAGAGGAAGAAGGAGAGCAAAGCAAAGTTGAAAGCATATGTGTCTGTGTAATATGTGTGTGTAGAGAAAGAGAGAGAGAGGGGTGGGGGAGAAGCAAGAAACGGTGTTAGCGAGAGATAGAGAGAATCGTGGAGCTAGCAGAAGCAAAAGGACCATCACCAGCAACGGCAGCAGCAGCAGCAGCAGCAGCAGCAGCAGCAGCAGCAGCAGTAGTAGTAGTAGCCTGGTGTCCATGAGACAAGAAGATGACAAGGATGAAGCTAGTGCTCGTGTTACTCTGTGTCCTGGCGCCTCTGGCAATCTGCCAACAACAAAAGAGATGGTCGATGGCTTGGAGCAAGCATCGGGACAAAACAGCCAAGGGCAAGTACGAGCCAGATTACGTCGCAAACAGGAGGACAAGTAGAATCGATGAATTCTTTGAGGATGAACACAAGTTCACCGTTTATAGGAACAACAGGGCCATCGATTCTAACAGGTATTTTCTGTTTATAGGTCAAAATGCTATTTTGAAACTTTTTCATTTTTTTCTCCGATCGAATGTCAATTGAAGAATGTCAATCAATTTCAGGCCGGTAGACACCACCGGTTCGAGCAAAAGCTATCAATATTCCTCGCACTCATCGAAATCACGGGGAAAATCTAGCGAGGAGATGCGTGAGAACAGTCGAAGAACTAAAAACGTAACGATAGGCGATGGTATATGTCAGAGCATTGACATTAGAAACAATGTTTACAACTTCGATATACTTGAAAATTGTCACGTGATCGAGGGCTTTCTACAGATCGTTCTGATCGAGAACAATACCGAGGCCGACTTTCAAAACCGTACATTTCCGAAGCTACGAGAGATCACTGGTTATCTCCTACTCTATCGCGTTTACGGATTGAAGAGCCTGAACAATCTCTTCCCGAATCTCGAAACCATCAGAGGGAATATACTGCTTACAGATTATGCATTTATGGTATACGAAATGCAAAACCTGCAGGAGGTGAGATTGCAGAATTTTTCTCAGAATTACAGTGTAACCATTAAATTTAATTGGTTATGATTGATAACGTTCACCGGATAGTTTACCGTGAGATTGCATTAGACTCTAACTTGCTCGTAAAATGTCTCGTCGTGGTACGATGAGTCAGTAAGTAGTAGTCGTCCTTGTCGTACGAGATCAATCGCGATCGTCCGTCATTCCCACGCCAAAGAAAAGTTGATTACGCCGGTTCGAAGGTTTGCTCCAATTTGTTCAAGAGTATCGGTTAATCGACGGGGTCAAGTGACAAGTTTAATCGGTTAATTGAATTAATCGGACATTACGGTCGTCCCCCCCCTCGGCCGGCTGAAGATAGCCTTTTCTAATGTTTCCCTTCACTCTAATGTTTCTTCACAGATCGGCTTAAGAAAACTGACGAAAATCTCGAGGGGTGGGGTAAGGATCGAGAAAAATCCAGCCTTGTGTTACACCAATACATTAAATTGGGACGCTATCGTTACGGCCGGGGACAATTTTATCAAGGATAATAGCAATGAAAGTTCGTGTCCAAGTTGCTCGCAATGTCCCGACGGTTATTGTTGGACGGCCCAACATTGTCAAGTAACGAATAAAACGAAGTGTCACCATCAGTGCCTTGGAGAATGTTACGGTATAACGGAGAGCGATTGCTACGTCTGTAAACATTATCGGCACGAAGGGAAATGCGTCGAGAATTGTCCGGATCATTTGTAAGTCACGTTCTAACGAGGTTACCTCGTTAGAATATACCTCGGAAGAGAACGTACAAACCACGTTCCATCCGCGTTCTTTCGTTATCGAGTTAATTCGACACTCGTCATTCTCTCGCGTTTTTTCTTTTTTTTTTTTACAGATACGCCTATATATCAAGGCGATGTATAACGAAAGCCGAATGTCTGAAAATTAATCACTTACGGAAAATATCGAAAATCGAGGACGAACAAAAATGGCGACCCTTTAATGGTTCCTGCCTAACGCAATGCCCCGAGGGATACGAGGATCACATCGACGAGAACAAGGTATGGATTTTCGATATGACAATTCATGCTTCAAATCCCTCTTATAAATCCCGTTGATAATAAATTATATGATGTTCCTCTCATAGATGATAACCTGTCGAGTTTGCAAGGATAGATGTCGTAAGATAGGAAAGAGTGCCATCATAAGGCACATCTCGGACGCTCAAGTGTTTCGAGGGACGACGGTGGTAAACGGGGCTTTGGAATTCCAAATAAGAAACGGTAATCCGAACATCATGCAAGAATTAACCGAAGCTTTTGGCCTGATCGAGGAGATTACCGAATACCTCAAGGTGACTCACTCCTTTCCAATCACGTCATTGGGCTTCTTCAAAAAACTCAAGGTCATCAAGGGCGAAAAATTGGACATAAACAATGCGAGCTTAATCGTATTGGATAATCCAAATCTTTCGAATCTCTTTCCGCCGTCGCAGAAGATCGATATACAAAACGGCAGATTGTTCTTTCATTACAATCCAAAACTTTGTATATCAAAGATCGAACAGCTTGGCCAAATGGTAGGTATAACGGATCTTAGCAATCTCGAGGTACAACCGGAATCAAATGGGGAAAAAGTAGCATGCAATGTCGTCAACATAAATATCACGGTCAAAGAAAAAGGCTCGAGTTATGTGAATCTGATTTGGGACAGTTACAAGCCACCTAAAGAACAGCAATTATTGAGCTATCTATTGAGTTACATAGAGACCGAGAATGAAAACATCACTTACGAAGCTAACGCCTGTGGTAATAATACTTGGCAGATCGTTGACGTTGACATACCCAATGGGAATTCGTTGCTCCTGAAAACTGTATCGAAACACATTTCGGGTCTTAAACCGTACACGAAATATGCCGTTTACGTGAAAACCTTTACAACGAGAAACGAAAGTTTTTCGAATTCCTTCATTAATCCCGTTGGCCAATCGGAGATAATATTTTTCAGAACGAAAAGTGACATACCTTCTATGCCCACCGACGTTGTTTCTATTTCGATAAGCGATACCGAGATTATGGTCAAATGGAATCCACCGGAGCAACCAAATGGTCCCATTGGTTATTACATGATATCCGGTTTGTTAAGACCGGAGGACGCGAAATTTCTTTCCACTAGAGATTACTGTAAATACGGTCTTATCGATGAATCCGAAGTCGAAGAAATACAGGAAGTTACTGCTAAAGTACCGATCGTCGGCCCGTCCTCTTGCTGTTCGAAGGACGAGTCGATTAAACCGCCAACGTCGAAAAAGTTCGAGATACTTTGCGATCAAAATCTCAGGATAAGTCACGTTTCCACCGGTTGGAAAGATTATTGCGTTTTCAACAGGTACAACTCAATGAACGAATCCGAATATGGATTGAGAAACGAGCCGTTGGGTATTGACGAGGAAACGTTCGTCTATAACGTCAGCGCCAAGGAAAATTCATTTCATTTGAAGAATCTACGACACTTCTCTTTGTATACCATTTCCGTTGCTGCTTGCGGAGTCAAACTTCGGGACGATTTACAAATGTGCTCGTCCATTCAATATACCAACGCGCGAACGAAGAGACGCGAAAAGGCCGACGACGTGGGCAACGTCATAACACACATAACCAACAATTCGATCGTCGAGATTTCTTGGGATACCGTTAGAAATCCCAATGCACTCACTCTGAGCTATACGATCGAGTATACGAATTTAGATGTTAAAGATGCGAAGAAAAGTACGGAGTGTATACCGTACGTAGGACGTGGCGACGAACGTAAGACTCACGAGATTAAAAACTTAAGCCCAGGTCATTACAGTCTCCGGGTACGTTCGACCTCGTTAGCTGGCGATGGTAATTTCTCCGAGACGATTTATTTTTCCGTTGGACTACTTAATGATAATCCAGTAGTATTAATATCATTGCTGATCTTTGGCTTCTTCATCGTTTTCACCATAATTGGATATATTTATCTTAGAAATCGTCAAAAGAAGAAGAAGCAAGAGAGATTGATAGCAAGCGTAAATCCTGATTACATTGAGACAAAGTATACTATCGACAGTTGGGAGGTACCTAGAGAAAGCGTTGAGATATTGGAAGAGCTTGGCCTTGGTAATTTTGGAATGGTGTGTCGTGGCCGTTTGGACAATACCATCGACGTAGCGATAAAGACGATCTCTGAGACGGCCAGTGAGCGCGAAAAGAATGAGTTTTTGAATGAGGCCTCGGTAATGAAAAATTTCTCAACCTTTCACGTAATTAAATTGTTAGGAGTCGTTAGCATTGGGAATCCACCATTCGTCGTAATGGAACTAATGGAGAACGGAGATTTGAAGACATATTTGCGACGTATACGAGACACACATTTCGTACCGAACGCATCGAGAATAATAAGAATGGCGGCTGAGATAGCTGATGGGATGGCTTATTTGGAATCGAAGAAATTCGTTCATCGTGATCTGGCTGCCAGAAATTGCATGGTCTCAAAGGATTTGGTTTGCAAGATTGGAGATTTTGGCATGGCCAGAGATATATACGAGACCGATTATTATAAAATCGGTAAGAAGGGACTTTTGCCGATAAGATGGATGGCACCGGAGAATCTTTCGGACGGTGTTTTCACGTCAGACTCGGACGTTTGGTCGTTCGGTGTAGTACTCTATGAGATATTAACGCTCGCTGAAATACCATATCAAGGCTTTTCCAACGAGGAGGTATTGAATTACGTTTTGCACAAAGGTTCCCTCGGTATACCAAGAAACTGTCCGGAAAATATTCAAAAAATCATGGAGAAGTGTTTCAAGTGGCGGCCGAACGATCGTCCAACCTTCATGGAGATCGTCGCTGAATTGGAACCTTTTCTGGGTCAGGACTTTTGTGAGAAATCCTTTTATCACTCCGAGGAGGGTGTCGAGATACGTAATCTAGGAATTAAGAAGGTCTATCATCACGCTGCACCGATACGTTTTCATTGGGGCAACGAGACCGCTCGGTGGGTTCGAGAATTCGAAGATAACGTGACGCTTCTTGATCAAACGAAGGCCGGCACCAGTCGAGGACGTATATTCAAGAATGGCTTTCAACAGTTCGGTAACGTTACCAATATGGAGGAAGTTCCTCTTGATCGATGAAATTTTTCTCACGTTAGACTCGCGTCTTCTTTATCGAGGGTAAAATGGAAGTCGTCGTGTTGTCGTTTGGTCTCGCGTGTAGTATCAATAATGGGAAAAAAACGCAAATAATAACGTACAAACATACACTCAGGGCAATATGAGAGATGGGAGGACTAAGAGGAAAATAAAAGGGGGGGGGGGAAAAGAAAAAAAAAAGAGAGAAAAAAAATGCGTTATATACCGAAAAGACACAGGTAAGTACGATCGTTTAAGTCGCATTATTTCCGTTCTCTTCCTCGGCGGGACCAGACGCGATTCTCTTCTAATTTCGTTACGAAACGACGAAAGACTTAATAGGACAATTAATTTAATACTTATTACCTTAGTTATAAAGCATATCGTCTATTCATCTATCTATGGAAGCCACGGTTCATGGATCCCTTATTTAAAAGGTAATTTAGGATCGATTCATCTTTATCCGCGTTTCACTTTCCTCTAGCGCTACCAAAAGCTCGAAGCCTTTCGATATCGTTCATTCCTAGGAAGTAAAGAGAGAGCTTATAATTAGCATAGCGTTTTTCTAGAACTTGAAGAAAGAATATTTTATTCGATATATCATCAAGTTTTACCACAGAGTTCCTTCTCGCATATATACCCTTCTACATGAGATGCATTAATTCGTAGTTTTTAAATTTTATATATATATATACATATATATATATATATATATATATATATATATATATATATATTACATTACAGTACATATATAGCCGTACTAACGATTCAATTAAATGCACTAAGCGACCGGATATGAATCGTAGATCGTTTTGTCTGAAGTAGAAAAAGACGATTTTCCATATACATACATACATATACATGTATATGTATGTATATATACGTATATATATGTATATGTATATTTATATTAGTACATATATATACATATATATACATATATATACATATGTATATATATATATAATCATTGCAATAAGTATGTCCGTGATCCTTGCAATAATCATGTAGATATCGTAGAACCGAATAATAGCCGAATAATAATGAGAAATTTAGAGACTTGAAAATGCAATCAAAGAATTGCGAGCATGAAACAAAATTTATTATTGTTCGTTAAATTTCATCGTATTTGACGATTATCAAATTCATAGTCTCTAATATTAAGTATACGTATTGACAAATTTAGAAAACTC